AGCAATTCTTAGACTGATACTATGAATGCAGTTATCCTATTATTAAAGCAGTTTTGTGCATGCCCTGGATACAAATTCAGAATAAGCTTCTAATCATTTCTTCACCTCCTGTAACAAAGCCCCGGTTTTAACCATGATTAGCATTATGTGGAAACACATAATACTAAGAAACTAATACAGTCCAAACAACAAATGTATGACAAGCAAATATAACTGCACAACGTAAATCTCTTGGCCAGCTATGTGCTTCTGCCTCTTTGAACTGGAATTACTTTTGTACTTAGTCAAAATGAGAGACCACACATTCTAAATATTTTCTATCTTACAGAAAGCAAAGCAAAGCAAAGCAGAAATGAATAATCAAGAGAGATGGAAACAATATACAGAGGTGATAGTCCGCTAATCAGTCAAGGACCTTGCACTAATTCCTGGTCCCCTTAGAAAGTTTAAACAAAGTAATTTGGGAGGAATCTCTATGTCAGGATTGCTAGAAATAGCAACCTCCTCCACTCTATCAAAGTGCGTTATGAAACATGAGCAAAGACAACCTATTATCTACTCCTGGAAGTAGTTTTTGTATCTCTGTCCCTGTCACCACCAGTAGCATCAAGGATTTGGTTGATGGATCCTCACAATTGCAGATCTGCTCTCCCACCGCTTTTAGTATACTGACACAGAAGATACTGTTGTTGAGCACTTCTTCATGACATGTAAGCAATGTGGATTCATGCTGTGCTTTCTGTCAAAGGACTTTTCCTCTAACTAGCAATACCGCAAAACTGTTTCAGTTCTGATATATTTAAATCCTTCAAAAATGTAGGTTGGGGGCAAGATTTCTACTATAATTTTTAAATATTTTTTAAAATAATTTTTAAAATGGCTCAATGCTAGAGCAGACAAGAGCAGATAGCTCAACTCAATTTTCATTCTTGAATGGAGACTTTGATTCAGTGTGCATGCCATGTGAGTGATCTTACAGTAACACCACAATAGATGTTCTCCTAGAAAGCTTACAGGATTCTGTCTACTGAATGTGCCTGTTTACTTTTTTAAAGGATTGATGTTGTTCGGTGACTTCTTAATCTCACGTCTGCTTTTTATCTTTGAACTCAGTACTATTCAAATGGATTTTAAATCAGAAATCAAATCTGTTTGTTTGTTTTATCTCGTGTTGCCACTGTCTAAAGGAGCAGATTCATTAGTTCCAGCACAAGGACAGGACCCACCAAATTGTGACTTGCATTCTGCCTTGAAATAAATTTCTGTACCTCAGCAAGAAATTTGAAAATCAGTGTTTTGTTTTTAACTCAAATTTCTAGTGATCTGTGCCTTGGATAAATCATCAAGAATCTTGGAATCCTGTATCATACTGTGTCATTAAATTGCTATGTAATTATGAGCTACTCTTAGTACTCCCAACTGCCTGCCTTTTTCCCACCTGTCTTTTGGGCCTTTAAAGAGGGCCTTATTATGTATTTGTGGGGTATATAGCATGATATGTCCTCTGACTGTTACTGCTAAACATAAAGAGTAAATAGCAACAGTAATAAACCTAGGATGTAATAGAGTCTATAAATATGTATGTGAATAGAGCATATTTTGGGGGAAAACATTTTTTTTTTCCCATAGAGTATAATGCAGATCACATAGAGAATATGTTGATATATTTGCTTTCTTTTTTTCTACTGTATCTCCTACCACTTTAAAAGCAGTTATTGCCATGATTCCTGAAAAAGTATTTCACTGAATCTAGTATCTCTGCACTGGAGACTTCAATGGGCATAACGTAATCTGATTTGTAGCAGGCTGGGATATGTAATTGTCCAGTACTGAATGTCCTTTTGCTCTGTGAAAAATCTATTAGTTTCAGCCTCCATTTTAGACTACATTTAATTGTCACTTTTGTTTTCAAAGCCATCTGTACATTTACTTATAACACTTCTCTTGTCTGTAGTGTGCAGAGAACTTAGGCCATGTCCAGCAACGAGAAAGCCCAGCGAAGATTTTTAATAGCTTTCTTTCAGCAGAAAAAGAGATTTTCTGCTACTAAGGTCAACATACTTAAGTTATTCTACTTCGGGACTTTCTGAAGAGTAAAGGAGTGAATATTCAACCTGGAGAGAGCTGCTGGGGCACAGCGTGCACCCCTGTAATCTACAAGTTATTCTGTGAGCGCACAAATTCACAGGTTGATACCTAAGAGTCCCGAAGTTTAATTCTGCCCTAACAATATCTTATGAGAAAGCGGTGACCTAGCAGAGATTCCTGAAAGGGTGTAGGGCACATATTTGTAAAAGAAAAAAAAAAAAAAAAAGGTTGGGGAAATATTTATATGGGGCACATGAAACTCACTGATTAGCTTCAATGTGTGAGTCTGTACACATACAACAGAACTCCATTTCTTTTCTTTTTCTTCTTCCCAAACATCTTCTCACTGTGGTTCCCCTGACTTACTGCTAATTTGGCTTTAAGAAGAAACATAAAGCTGTTTTAACAAAAATACACTGAAAAACTGGAAAATGTGAAAAGAGTAGGTTCCAGGTGATTGAATGCTGAACTGGAAATAGAGTTCTTATAACTATTTCAGGGTTCTCTTCATAGCCTTCTGCTACTTCATATGGGCTGTGGTTACATTTGCAATGTATCTCCATCTAGAAGACAGGCAAGTACATTCTGAGTCACGAGAAGATGCACTGGACCTGGAGATTTCTCTGTGGGCCGAGGTAGTGAGAGGATGGTGAAACAGGAGTAACAAAAGGAGGAAGTGGGAAATAGTACTTGTGCTCTATAGGGCATAAATACATAGCTCCTGTGTACACTGAATCACAGAATCACAGAATCACAGAATCACCTGGGTAGGAAGGGACCTCAAGGATCATGTAGTTCCAACCCCCTGCCTAGCAGGGCCACCAAACACACATTCAGATCAGGTTGCCCAGGACCCCGTCCAACCTGGCCTTGAACACGTCCAAGGACGGGGCATCCACAACCTCCCTGGGCAGCCCGTTCCAGGGCCTAACTACTCTCCTTGTGAAGAACTTACCCCTAACATCCAACCTAAATCTTTCCTCCTTCAACTTGGATCCATTTCCCCTAGTCCTGCTGTTGTCAGCCCTTCTGAAGAGTTTACTCCCCTCCTGGGTGTAGGTTCCCTTCAGGTATTGATAGGCTGCACTGAGGTCGCCCTGCAGCCTTCTCTTCTCCAGGCTGAACAAGCCCAACTCCCTCAGCCTGTCCTCATAGGGGAGGTGCTCCAGCCCCCTGATCATCTTAGTCGCCCTCCTCTGGACCCTTTCCAAGATCTCTATGTCTTTCTTGTACTGAGGGCTCCACACCTGGACACAGTACTCCAGGTGGGGCCTCACAAGAGCCGAGTAGAGAGGGACAATCACCTCCCTGTCCCTGCTGACCACCCCTCTCCTGATGGAGCCCAGGATCCCATTTGCCTTTCGAGCTGCCAGAGCGCACTGCTGGCTCATGTTCAGTCTCTCGTCCATCAGGACCCCGAGGTCCTTCTCTGCCGAGCTGCTCTCAAGGACCACTCCTCCCAGCCTGTACGGGTGCCTGGGGTTCTTCCGGCCCAAATGCAAAACCTTGCACTTTGCCGTGTTGAACCTCATTAGGTTCACCCGACACTGTTCATGTCCCCATCTTCCTGTTAAAAAGCTAACGGACTACTTTGGGTGCCTCCAAACATTCAGCAGTCATCTTGGCTCTGTTTCTTGGTGACATGTGTCTGTATCTGTTCTTTGGCTGACTTGGTTCTTCAGCTTCAGTCACTCTTTTCATTTCTTGATGTATGCCTATCTGAGGTATAAGTATAGAAAGATGTCATTTTCCCTTCATTACTATTAACAAGCTTTTATTCAGAATGTCTACTAAAGCTTATACCACAGTAGTTCCCCTTTCAGTGCAATGTTTTCTCTGCTGCCTCATTAGTCCCTTGGTTCACTTTACAGCACTGGTGCTAATGTCTGTCTTGTCTAACTGTCTTAATAATTCCTGCTGTGCCAGAACAACAAATATTTCTTAGAAGCCATTTGAGTTCTGCGTGTCACACACAAGTTACCTAAGGAGCGTACGCATGCTAAGTATGCTCACAATTTTAAGTGCAATTTGATGCATTAACACCCTGCTAAATGAAAAGACAATTAGAGCTAAAGCAAAACAAACAGATCCTGTGCTTAATTTGACAATTAAGGTTTTGTTTGGAGCAGGCAGGATTTCCACTAAGAACTCTTGCAGTAAGACCCAGTCCGTTTATAAAGGCCAGGGACAACTAACTCCACTGAGACGCAGTGGGGAAGCTGTTTATGTTAACGTTGGCAGGCAGTGTGCTGGGGAGCCATGCTGGATTCCAGCTGTATATGTGGAAATTTTATGGGGATGGGTGTGAATCTGTGAGAGCTGCTTGCGCACAGAAGCTGTTGGACGTGGTGTCTCATCCTCAGCTGACCTCTGAATCTGTGCTTTAACACATACAGGTGGGGAACACACAGCTAACCCGGGGGACACCCGGTCTGACTGATCCAGATGCAGTCTTACAGACAACGGGCTTTCCAGAAACAGCCCAGAAGAGCCCAGCAACCTTGGAGAAACGTGGGGGTAGAGCAGCAGGGCAGGCCTGTACTGCTGCACACAGGTGAAGCACAGCACCTGCTCGAGAGGGAGAACCGAGCTGATGGAGCCCACAGCTCCAGACCTGTACTGGCCTGAAGCTGTCCAAATCTGGGAAGGATTTGGACTGCTCTCTTTGACAGTTTGGAGCTGCTTCACACACTTCTATACCCTCCTCTCTCTGGGGCAGGCAGCAGCACACCGGGGTGGCCTTTCCAGCACAGAGCAGCGATTCCTTCCCCGTGCGTCTGAGGACGGCGGAGGAGCGACACAGCCCTTCCCACGCGTCGCCGCGCTGCTCCACGCCGCCATCCCACGCGCCGCACCCAGCGGGGCCAGGGCGGGCGGGGCGAGGGAACGCGGCTCTCCCCGCCCCCGGCGCTCGGGGCCGCGCTGCTCCTCTCTGCGGGGAAGGGCATGGAGTTGGCGGGAGCGTATAAAAAGCCGCCGTGATGCGAAGCCGCCGTCCCTCCGGAGCTGCCGAGGGGCGCCGAGGGGCAGCGCGGCGCCATGATCAACCCCAACTATTACCCGTGGGGCTACGACAGCGACAACGGTGAGAGGGCGCGGGGCCAGGCAGCGTGCCGGGCCGGCACTGACAGCTGACTGCCGCTGGCTTTGTCTGTCTCCGGTTGAGTTCGTGTTGTCATGGCGGGGTCAATGGGTGTATCGTATCATGTTTCTGGGCGCTGCTGGACTTTGGTCCATATCCACCTCTGGTTTCCTCTTGAAGTGTCTGGCTCCTAGTAAGAAAAAAGTGCAGTTTATGATGCAAGTTTGGTTCAGATGAATAATGTGCAGTCATAGTCCAGCTACAGTGATCTAAACGCTTGTAACATAGTGCTGCTCTTGACAGCTCATGACTAACAGCCTGCTGTTAGCAATTCACTTATTAATACTTTTACTGCCATAGCTCAGCAGTGCCAACCTTCCATTCATTGTGAAACAATGTAGTTTGTACCTAGCTAGAAGAGGTTTTCATGATGTTTCTCTGATTTTTTTTCTAGGACCGGATCAATGGCACAAAAATTACCCTACTGCCAAAGGACGCCATCAGTCCCCCATTGAGATCAATAACAAAGAAGTGCACTATGACCGCTCCTTGCTGCCCTGGTTTGCCAGTTACGATCCTGGTGCAGCGAAGACCATCCTCAATAATGGGAAAACCTGCAGAGTTGTGTTTGATGATTCTTTTGATAGATCAGGTTAGTTTTGTTTTCAGCTTGAGCTGTTGTTGTACATCAGCATATATTTCTCAAATTGGGTGAAAGAGTACTCTGAGTGCTCATGGCTGTCAGAAGGTCCTCGTGTAGAGCCTGCATGTGGCATGCTGAATTCTGTGCCTACAGCATCCCGCACATCTGACAGGAAAGGTGTGAGACTACTTTTGAAGTCTGTAGGTAAAATCCTAGGGAATGGAGAGAGCTGCAGAAAAGATTGATGCAGGATAAATTAAGGTGAAGGATAAATTTCTGCAGTTGCAAAGGCTGGTGCTGGTGTGTTGCTTCCTAGGGGCACAGAGTCCAGGCTTTGCCTGTAGGGACTGAATTCCATACAAGGCTATCTGAGATGCACAGAAGAATATCTGTAATTGTGTATGTGGCTGAAGTCACAATATTTGAATACTGTACTTGTGTGATTTCTAATAAATGGAGTAACAGATCAGATGTTGCCACCTAATCACTTTATTTAATCAGTTAAAATGCCCTTTAGCATTTGTGAGATTTTGTCTTAATTAGAAGGCTGAGGAATTCCAGTGCTTCATCTTCAACGTCCAGAATGTTCTGGTGTCCAAAATCTTGATCTTATTACTCACAGTTACTACAAGTTGAAGTGTATGCTGCATATATAATGCATACCTTTTAAGAGTTAGTGGGGCCATGTATTTAGAAGAGTTATATCTGTTCTCTTCAACAGGTGCTAGAAGTATTAGGCTTGTTGGCATAACCACTGAAGTTTCATGTTGATACTATTGGCTGTATTTCAAAGGAAAAAACCTTACATTAAAGAAGTATGGAATTGCTTTAGTACTGAGATAAAAGGAAAAAATCAGATGCATACCTCTGTCTTTATTCTTTTATTGAGGTCAACAGAATTGTGTTATTTATAGCATGAGTTGGTAAGAAAAAGATGTCCATTTTGGTAAAATACTAAAAGTCTGTCTTCTGCAGTGCACAGACTTAAATTTAATTATATTATAAGCTTCATTTACCACTACAGTATAATTAAGATTGACTACAATAACTAGTAGGAGAAATTTTGCTAATAAGTTTGTTGGCCTTAAATATCTACATGCATTAATTTAAGTTGTTTTTTTAATGACTTGGGTTTCATGAAAACTGAGTATAAAAATGTGTTATGTAAGATGAACTTGTCAATACACTCATAACTCAGGAGTATGAAGTCTTTGATTAACTTTGTAGCAAAATGGGAATATTTACTGTTATTTGTATAAAATATTATTCCTAATGTCAGATAGCAGTACACATCAGTAACGGCATGTTGCTGTGGCATATGTGAAGATCTGTGACCATTGCTTACTTTTTGTTTACTATCTCCATTACGTGCTGGAACAGCATCAGATATATCAATCATTGCATCTCTTGCATTAACATCAATTACTTTTACAATTACTCAAGTTGTGCATGGTGGGGAGTGTATAGGTAGAGCAATACATACACCTTCTCTAGAAAGAGCAGAAAGGTTTGGAATGTGCTGATTTTTTTTTTCCAGAAAACTATTCAGCAACTGCTGTGCTCTGATCTCAGAAATAGTGACTCATTGGAAGAAAAGTAGGTGTATTTTTGATGTCTTTGAAGGCAAGAAACATTCAGTGTTTACTGTTACGGCCTTTTTGTTATACCATTATCTGCAGTCTGTAGGTGGTGTTCCTTTTCTAATATAGTGTTAATTGCAGGACGAATTCCACTCTGCATGCTTCTACTGACTTGAACAAGTTTTAAGTTTCTTTTGATATGTATAGTAACTTATTTTCCCAGTAAAATTACCACCTGCTGCATGCTATAAGACTATATAATAACAATCGTAAAGAATGTTTCAATCCCTTGGAACAAAACCATTCTCTATCTACCTATCCATTCATCTATTATTCTATCTATCTAAATTATTTCTGAGTTAGCCAGAAAACAAGGGCTTCTTTTATTTCTTTAACTTTTTTGGTTAGAGCATATTTGTGTCTGTACTTAATCTAGATTTTCGTAAGTGGTGGATGAAATAGGTTTATACCCTTTCTTATTGCTAAGTAAATTGCAAATGACCTTTCAGAGTTTTACTTTCATTGTATTTCCTCTGCTAGGAAAACTTTAAATATGCACCATTTGGACAGTTTTTTAAACTCAAATTATTGGAAAGAATGTTCTGGACCAATGTGTGGTCCAATGTAATTAACATTTTATGTTGCAGAGGCCTTATCACTTTATCTTTGGACCTACTCCTGCAGTTTATGAATATTGGCTTACTTCAAGAATCTGCTTTATAACTGAAGACATTTGATAGAATGGCCTGGATTGAAAAAGATCACAATGATCATGTAGTTTCAACCCCCCTGCTATGTGCAGGGTCACCAACCACCAGACCAGGCTGCCCAGAGCCACATCCAGCCTGGCCTTGAATGCCTCCAGGCATTTCTGACAGATACTTGCTTTTGGAGCTGTGTTGTGTCTCTGCTACTTTTCTGTGAAAGTTAATGGATCATTATAGACTCAGTTGTCTCTCTTACCATACCTGTGTTGAAGAAGGTTGTTGTGCCACCTTTTGGCGGCTGCAAGAAAACCCTGCACCAAAACTCGGGTACTTCAGCAGCCTACCTGTTTAGCAGGTACACACCACTGCCACATTTATTGGCTGGAATGGCAAGTCAGATATTCCTTTAGATCCAACAGTAACTGTTTTGTTTTGAAACAGGACTGTGGTATTATTTCTACTAGCAGAGTCTCTTTGCTTTTAGAATTCCCAAAAATATTCGCACCAGAGGAGCATCCTGAAACCATCTAACTGGAAGGACCATTATCATGATGTTGCATGAGTTCTGCAGCTTCTAACTTTCTTAGCACCAATGAATGCAGCTTTATTTGTCATTTCTATGGACAATGGGTTAGGTCAAATGTTCAATCATTAAATAAACAGTAAAGATGTGTAAGTCTTTTTCTGGAACACAGACCCAGCAGCTGGAGAAAGATAGGTTAAGGCTATGTCAAATGGTGCTTTTGTTATCTCTTTAATGTACTTCATGGAAGTTCACTGGCCAAAGAGGATTCTTGCTTATCCTTTTAATGAGGTTCTGATGGTTGGCATTTAAGGGCTTGGAGTACCACTGTGCACTTTTTATAAGGCTGCCTGGATGCTTTTTGCAGAATCTCTTGCTTTCTTATCAAAGGCAGACTGTTACTGTAAGTAGAACTTGTTGCTTATCTTCCTTTAGCATGACTCATTGCAGCCTATCAATACCTGAAGGGAACCTACACCCAGGAGGGGAGTAAACTCTTCAGAAGGGCTGACAACAGCAGGACTAGGGGAAATGGATCCAAGTTGAAGGAGGAAAGATTTAGGTTGGATGTTAGGGGGAAATTCTTCACAAGGAGAGTAGTTAGGCCCTGGAACGGGCTGCCCAGGGAGGTTGTGGATGCCCCGTCCTTGGACATGTTCAAGGCCAGGTTGGACGGGGTCCTGGGCAACCTGATCTGAATGTGTACGTTTGGTGGCCCTGCTAGGCAGGGGGGTTGGAACTACATGATCCTTGAGGTCCCTTCCAACCCGGGTGATTCTGTGATTCTGTGACTAGCTCTTGTGGACACCATTTCTAAGAGTACCACCTTGTAGGAAATCTCATTTATCTCTGTTAAAATAATATTTTGTTATCAACTTCTGATAAATAAACATATATTGGTTGACTTTTTCTACAAAAAGGACAAAAGCCAGTAACTTTAACTGGCAAGCGTTTCCATGCATGCTGTATATTTGGTTAAATCCTGGGTGCTGAAGTGATACTAGAACAAGTCAGTAGATGTTACAGAAATAGCACGGCTTAATTCCAATGCTTGTGTGCCCCAGTAGCTATGCTGCATACCACTGGATGGTATACTGCATACCGCTAAAGGCTGCAAAGATAAATTCTTCCGTTGGTGCTTAGCACTTTCATCATTTGTAGTGTTTTCATGAAGTTAGTGAGCGTTAATGAGCAGTGCAGAGCTTGGGTTCAGGGGATTTAGTAATCGAGTTTCTGTTGGCTTTGGACTTCTACATTACTGTTGAAGCTATAAATGCTTGAACAGCTAAGGGCCTTCTGAGGCTACGGCCTTCAATTGTCTTGCAGTAATGCCTTACTAATTTCATTTCACTGTGGAATCCACTTTATGGATTTGGCAGCATGTGAGAATGGTGAACCTTGTAAGAGCAGTTAGTTCTTGCCCTGTTTATAAACACAACTGGCTTTATGAGTCTGTTCAAGGAAGATTTAGATTTTGTGTTGAGGGACATGGTTTAGTGAGTACTATTGGTGATAGGTGGATGATTAGACTGGGTGATCTTGAAGGACTTTTCCAACCTTGGTGATTCTGCGATTCTGTTTGGTGCAGAATCAAATGTTTTTCCACTCCCATAGGGTGTCTTCACCTCCACCAAGGAAGGTGTTTGTGTAGGCATAATTTGGTCTAGGCTGCATCCTCCTGTGCTTTCTCTGGGGCAAGTACCTGCACAGCTGGCCACACTAGGAATGAGAAGAGATGTTTAGCCCATCGTCTCATGCTGCTCATGAGGGACAAAGTAGAAAGTGAGATTTTTATTTTATTTTATTTTCTGGATCTGATCTCATACTCTTTTTCAAACTGGTATATTGTATGAGTTTATTAGCGTTTTCCAAAAATAAAATCCCAGGAGAATGGAGATACCTTTAGAATTTATGTTCCAAGCCGTGTGTTTAACCAAAATGAAGATTCCTTTCATTAACTTGGAGCTGTACAGACATTGCTTTGGACTGTTTTGTTCTAGATATTAGAAAACTTAGTTCTTGCAGCTATTATATTTTACACTTCTTAAAGCATAGAAGACTCATTTACTGTGGTAATTTCTATTTAAATTATCATTCCATATATTTCTTTCTTATATACTGTGCACTTGTAGAATCATTAAGGTTGAAAAAGATCTACAAGATCATCTGGTTAACTGTCCATGCACTCCCACCATGACCACTAACCATGTCTCTCTGTGTCACATCCACATGTATCTTGAGCACCTCCAGAGATGGTGACTCCACCACCTCCCTGGGCATCCTGTTCCAGTGCATTACCACTCTTTCTGAGAATAAATTTTCCCTAGTATCCAACCTGAATCTCCCCTGGCACAAGCACAACTAGAAGCCACTACCTCTTGTCCTATTGCTGTTACTGCTGGGAGAAGAGTTCGACCCCCATCTCCCCACAACCTCCTTTCTTATCATTGTAGAGAGCAATAAGGTTTCCCCTGAGTTTTCTCTTCTCCACACTAAGCAACAGCTGTTCCCTCACCCATTCCCTGTAAGATTTGTGCTCCAGACCCTTCATATCTTTATTGCTCTTCTCTAGACATGCTCCAGGGCCTCAATGTCATTCTTGTAGTGATCAAAACTGAACACAGTACTCAAGGTGTGGCCTCACTAGTGCTGAGTACAGAGGGAGAATCACTTCCCTGCTCCTGCTGTCTACACTATTTCTGATACAAACCAGAATGCCACTGGCCTTCTTGGCCAATTCACTTGCAATGAAACAGAAAAAAAAACCCCACCTTTTTGTTTGTGGAGAAATGTTGATTTATAGCTATCACCACCTTTGCATCATTCTGTCTGCTCAAAATGTCCTAAGTAAAAATCAGTCTATTTATAGAGGAGTGAAGCAGCGATGTGTTGACATGAGGTAACAGAGCTTCACACAACACCTGATCAAAAATGTCTGCTGTTGGCCCATCTCCGTGAATAATGGCACATTTTGGTCTTAAACTGGATTATTTGGTCTTACAGATCTATTTCAATGGAGGATTGATGGCCTTATTAGCTACTACTGTTACTGTTACTGTATCAGCATTAGTCATGGTACTGCATGTCTGTGGAACAAGTAAAAGGCATTTGTGGAGAGTATCAGCATGCTCTTAATACTCAGTAAAAAGTATTCTTTACGTTCTTGGTCCTTTATTTCTTGAGGTGACCATCGATTTTATTCCTTATCTTTCCAGACTTAAGGATATTTTTCGTTAACCTATAAAAGCCACTTCCTGAGAACTGCTGAATGGAATGCTTATTAATTTATCTCCAAATAATACAAATGAGAATTGAATATTAATTAATATTTGATGAATGTTGAGAAGTTCTTCCCTATTTAGTGTGAGTTATTTTCAAACCCTCTGCTTCCATTGCTGTGTAAATGTTGAGATTATTTAGAATGACTGTTGCTTGTCACAAGCTGAATTTTTTTTTTTAGGACAATAGCTTGCATTCTCAGTGACTGCTTTTCTGGCTCGTTTGCTGCTACCATAGCCAGGAGAAGCGGCCGTTATAGCAGAAGCTGCATCAATGTTTTCTTAGCTTTTTAAAAAAATTAGTCATTGTCTGCAGTATCAGGCACAGTCTGTAGAGTTTCTGGATATTTCTGTGTGCTTTGACATAGGTAAATATTAGATGGAGTTTAGAAGGATATTAAGACACCTAAACTTAGGTGTCCTGTGTGGGCTTTTAAATGTAGGTGAGCTACATATCTAAAATCACTCTTTTTCACTGGAGGTGGAGTCACTCTGAATCAATGGAGTCTAGAGAGCAATTCAGGTCACCGTCTGCTGAGTGTCCGATTAAAGCAAGCAGAATTACTTTAGCAGCTCAATTATTCTGAGTAGGAGCTTAATTCAATTACCTAAACAATAGGTATCTCATACTGTTTTTGATGACATAATGTGTATCACTTTGCTCCAGGTGCTGCTCTAGAAATATACATTTCTCCTACAGATCTTGTATATCTGCCAGCCCTGTGCAGACACCTTCAGCATATCCCAGCTGCTCACGTCTATGCAGCGGAATTAAAACAGTGATCTCAACTGACTATAATGAAAGCCTAGACACTTGCTGACTGTAAGTGCTTGTGGCTGAAAATGTTTGCCTGAAGTGCTCTTGCAAATTTCCAAAATGTAGATGGTACTCTGGGAATGCGGGACTTCTGTACAGTAATTGTATGTAAATATTTTTTAAAATCTATATATTTCTTAAAAGTAAGCTGAAATATATCTGAAATCTAATGCTGATGCAGATTGTCAATTGCAGTGTTGAGAGGTGGGCCACTTCAAGGGGTCTACCGGCTGCGTCAGCTTCACTTTCACTGGGGTTCATCTGACGACCATGGCTCTGAGCATGTTGTGAATGGAGTGAGATATGCAGGAGAGGTAAGTGTCACCACTTCTTACTTTAAAATAAGGTATAAAGTAATATTTGTCATTATCTTGGGGGAGAGTGAGGAGGCAAGAATTAAGGTTTGTCTGCTTTTTGAGCATGCCTAACTTTATTTATCTGTGACATTTTCTTCATCCATGGATTTTTATAATTGTGAGTTAAGCTAAAGTAATTCCTTCATTCACAGCACAAGAAAAGAAAAATATTGTGTCAAACTAAAGTTCCCATGTTTTCAAGCCATTGTGGCTTTGAAACGTAGGACATCAAGATTGAATTACTGAGAAGCAATGCAAACTTAGTAAAACACCATTCTGAAAGAGTAGTGTCTTCATGAAAGCAAAGAATTGTGGCCACAGAAATAAAAATATATGCTACTTTGATTTTCTGCCTTGAGGATGGTAAGAGAAGATAAGAATTGTAGATCAATAATATACATAGCATATATTCTTATGAATTCTTTGCTAAAGTTGCTGTAATTTGTAAAAAATTGTAATGAATCACATAGGTAGATCATTTCTGATATACATGTGTAATCTGCCTGCCTACTCAAATGTGTTTCTCTTCTTTAGTTTCAAGATGAGACTTCTGTTCTTCTTTGCTGTTTATATACTGAGGTGTTTGTAGATTATTTTTAATAAAAATAATATTCTGAATGATAATGTGATCGGTATAATTCATGTTTCAATTGTCTAATCCTTTGGAGGCCTACTCCTCATTCTTTGTGGCCCCAAAATTTCTCACATACATGAAGAACTCTAAATGCAACCTCTAGTGGCTTACAACTCACTAATGGATCTGTTTTTATATCTCTTTGTTTTCAGCTACACTTATTACACTGGAATCCAAAATACAGTAATTACCTTGATGCTGTGAGAAGAACAGATGGTATAGCTGTTTTGGCCATTTTTTTGCAAGTAAGTAGAAGCTCTTGTTCCTCCTTTGTACTGCTACTGTAGAGTTTTCTATTCTTGCAGCGTTAAAAAAACAAAACCTTCTGAATATATTTTCTAGAGTTCATATCACACTGAAGGGCTTGACTTTCAATAGTGCATGCTTTTCAAGTTACAGAGTATGAGTCATGTTATTTCAAATGGTGTCTAGTACTTTGTCCCAGCAGCTATAGTGTCACTAAGTGGCTGGTGGAAGCTGTAAATCCAGATGTATTTTCCCCTGCTTTGGGGACACAGTGTCAGTAGTGGCCCTTGGACCTACAGCAGTCAGCTGCTTGTTGTGCTAGTCATAGGCTGATTTCAAGGGCAGATACTGCTTCTCGGCTATTTGTGAACTTTTTCCTAGGCAAAACTAACTCATAGACTATACATGTGACTCATCCTTAAAAAAGAAATTATTTTAAAGGCATGAAGTCCTAGCTTGAAACACGGGCCTTTTCTATATCTTGTTTAATTAATGTATGTTGGAGTTAAAACAGATCAGCATCTTTCTGAGATCAGCAGTTGTCAACAGTGGATATGATCATGTCCCAATTTCAAACTAGAGTGAAACTTTTCCTAAGTCTGTACTTGAATCTGAAGAGTTCTTTGCCTTTCTTAGGCTAAAATACAATGTCAAGAGGAATTACTGCATTGCAAAATTATCTGCAATGCTGAGCTTCTATACTGATGTCATTTCCTCATTTGAATCACAATACCCATTGGGGTACAGACAGAAGGTACAGACAGAAGATGTATCTTATCTGGTAGGAGTTATAGCTTTGGTCGATGCATTATAATTTAATAGTTGATTTGTGTTTGGATGCACATGTAAAGAATATCAAAAAGAAGAGAAATGATAAGCAGAACTCTTCAGATAGCTCATTGTTTCTTCCTTACAGGTAGGGAAAACACCCAAACCAGAGATGAAAAGAATTCTTGAAGAAATAAACGCTATCAAAACAAAGGTAACAATGTTGTACTGTTTTAATAAGAAGATTGCTGGGAATTCTCAGGATAAAAAAACATCAGGAAGCACGACTTTGTAGTTTTCAGATTGAACTTTGTACCATTGCCAGAGTATACTTGTGAATAAAATCAAGTGTAACTTTCCTTAGCAAGAAAAGTTGTTTTTTTCCTGCTTTCATAAGAGCCTTTAATGGCTTTAATGGGCCTTAGAACACTTTGTGTAAATGAGAATCATTTAACCAAGATTCACTCTCCTGAAAACTAGACATGCAATCTTAATCCTGAAGTAGATGGCCAGGAAGAAAGGGCACCTTTGGAAAATACTTCACTCTGCCTTGAGATAGTCTGCTTAATGGTTCTCTAATGGTGCCACTAACTAAACATCTGTGTCTCAGAGAACTTCATGTGATTAGAATCTCACCATTAGTATACATTTGCTAGGCTGTTTTCTTTGTTATCAACACAAATATCAAAAATCTAAAATACATCTTACTTCATTGTATAGTGACCTAACCCAATTCATAACATAGGCAGAATTGCCATGAGAAAGCACGCCAGAAAGAAAAGTATTTCTGCACAGAAAGGAGTGAAACACTTTGGTACTGAATGCTGCTTTATATGAATTAGGTCAAGTTTAAAAAGTAGTGCCGTGGAGTTGTGTCATTCTCCATCTGTGAGGGTTATTCAGTCCAGTTGCCTTTGCACTGTATCAGTATTCGAAATGTCTGGACATGGACAAAGGGATGAAGTTTAGTGATGGATCTTGGTAGGTCAAGTTAATGGTTGGACTTGATGATGAAGGTGTTCTCTTGCCTAAGCAACTCTATGATTCCGAGATTGTGTTGTTTATATGTGTGCTTTTTTCAGACCATGTATGTGTTTTTAATGTGCAAGAGTCATGCTGTTTTTTAAAATGCCGGGCTTGAATCTTTACCTAATCTTGACTAGAGCTGTTAAATTTTTTTTTGTGTATTCTGTTTTTTGTTGTTGTTTTTTAAAGGGGAAAGAAGCTCCTTTTCCAAACTTTGATCCTTCAATTCTTTTCCCTAAATCTCATGACTACTGGACATACCACGGTTCTTTCACTACTCCACCTTGTGAAGAGTGCATCACTTGGATTGTTCTTCGAGAGCCTATCATAGTCAGCTCAGACCAGGTAAGCATCCAGCAAATAATACTTTACTCACTTCATTTTGGTTGCATGCTGTAAGCTGATCTGATTCTTTTGGCAGTGAATCTGCTTACTGGATGTGAGAAGTTTCGTGATTAAAAGGACAGTAAAGAATTGAATGCCTTTGAAACTATGTAGGTCACTCTGAAAGTAATGCCTCCTATTTATTTCCATGGAAATCACAAGAGATGCAAAGAACACAATAGCAGTATTAGATAGAATAAATTTTATCTACAAAACAGTATTTTTCAACATAGTCACCACCATTAACTATGTATTTTTGCCAGCGATGAACAAGAGCCTTCATACTGTGCTTAAATGCTTAATGCAGATAAGAATCTGCATTAGCAGAGGTGACCCACTGTTGCCACTGCTGAAACACACCACCCACGATCTCACTGTGCTCACACCCACAGCTTGATCTTCATAAACTTCAGCAGATGTCCGTGAAGGTCAGTGAGTGCCAGTTTTTCCACATGGAGGATCATGACACACTTTTGTTTCATACGCACTTCCATGTCAGACGCCATTTTGTCAGATTGCCCCTCTGCTGCAATTTGTCACTCGCCAACAGAATGTTATGCAATACTGACAGAAAGTTCAGCCTCTACTATCATATCGCCAATATCTGCCTCTGGCATCATGAGCCAAGATAATAAAACAAAACTGGTTGTTTCAATGTCCCCATCTGAAAAGGGGCTTAAATGAGCTGATATCATATCATGAGCTTTATAAATCCGGAAAGTTGTAACACAATGGAGATGTTAAGAGTTAATAATAGTTGGAGGCAGGATTGATAGCAAGCAGTAATTACTATAGTAATTACTGTAGAATGTAAATACTACAGAAAGTTATTGCTCCCATGGACAAAAGACCTTCTGTGACATCAGCTGAAGAAAAGAGGCTGTCTTCTTCTTGTTTCCCTGTCTGTGTTCTCCTGGTATTAACTCTTGTTAATAGTAAAGAGCTGGACGTGGTTTGCACCTTTTATTTCACACTGAGCTCTCAACCCTGCTTTTCCCAAGACCCAATATTGGAAAGCTCTAGCCATTAGCCTGTGTTCTGTGACCATTTAAATCAGAACAATGAAACATTTAGCTAAAGATTGTTGTTGGCTTTACACCAACAGTTGTGTTTGTGTTAATGCTCATTCCCCCTCATTCTCGTTTATATACATCTGAATGCCCTTTTTCATCACCCAGTGATTGTACTAATTTTTTAAATCTGAGATTATTCCTCTAATTAGTAAATGTGATAGCACAAATTTTAAGATTTAAGATTTTTTTAAATATTTCAGCACAGTGAGAAGTTGAACATCAATCAAGTGACAGATGTTATGTAGACATTATATGTGGACACAACTTTTCATCTTAGATCAGCAGATGATGAGGAATTTCACTGCATTGATTGATGGGCATATATCACAAAAAAATCTATTTGCTTCTATGTATTTATCTGGCTTTTTATCTTTCAAAGAATAGAATTCAGGTGTGGTGTGAACCTTAGCTGGCAAGAGGTGAAACATAGTAATGTACTCATATAACTTAGAGTGTAATTTTCACAGCTTATTTATTTGATCCATCTTCTGTTTCTGTGCCCATCCAAAAACTAAAATACACAGAATATTTCTAAGCTGGTGCTTGTGTGAAAAATACAGATATGCTTTGACTGGTTACTAACAAATCTGCTTAGAGATTTATACCATAGATGACAAACTACAAATTTTGTTGGGGAAGAGGTAGTCATTGCTGAGCATCTCTAATTTAAAATGAGTTTTGCAGGGGATGGCCAATCATGTCATTGATCCAGCTCTCTGAGAAGACGTTTGGATCACTGATCTATTTGAACTGTAGTCTTTTTCCAGGCTTATCTGAAGTTAGTGAGTCTTGGGAGATATACAGGCAGATACGGAACTAGTCCTACTGTGGGGAAAAAAAAAGAGCATTTAAGATAAAAAGAAAGTTTCTACACAGAGATGGGACTTTGGCTTTTTCCTGAGATAACTTTTTACAGGCAGAATTATCAGTGTGTATGTGGTGCCATATACAAGTACAATAGACTCTTCTTACTCCAGTGTCTGCAGTCCATATGATGCATTAATAAAAAAACCAGTCACGTTACCAATTACTTCTAATCCTGGAAAGTGTGCTGTCATTGCAGTATTTATTTATTTAGTATTTATTTTAAGTGCATGTACATCACTTGGATGTTTTTGCAGCCAGCTGGTAGTAGCATATCAGCCACAAGGATAAATACAGTCACTGAGAAACAGTACTCTGCAGGAAAAATCAGTTCATCGGAAACTTCTATGATAGATGTAGTGTGGGCAGCCTGAATGTTCAGGTTAACTTTCTTTAAAGGGTAGGATTTAACTTTGGAATTCCTCTATCCAATTGCAGACTCATTTTTTCACCCTTATGTAGTTGGAAGTATCAAGGCCACGTTGGGGGGGGGACAACTTGATTGAACGGATGATGACCCTGCCCATGGCAGAGGATTGAAACTAGCTTGGATATGCTATTTTTTTTTTTGCTCAGTAGGTATATCTTTTTCCCATCTTCCGAAACATAATAAAAACCACTAGTATCTTCTTTAGCAGTACTTTTTCAGTATTAGCAGAAGTGATGAACTATTTTCATATCCTACTGTTCCCATACAAATTACTTTTCATTTGAAATAGAAAACTTAGTTTCAGATGCATAATCCATCTGATGCATATTGAGTGTAAATGTGATTCTGTCATTGCTCATGCTTTTTCTAAGCTGTACAGTGAAGCAGTGAGGGACAACACTGAGATCCATGAGCTGGCCCAGCCCATAAGCTAGAATGAATAGAGATGTGGTGAATGTGGATTAACAGCCCAGACAGAAGTTCTGCTTCTATTAGAGTTGAACTCTGTGCTATATAATGCAGATACATCAGCATTCTGAAGCTAGTTGTTAGGAAATTTAACTTCTGATGTGCGTGGGGATAAGTTTTCAGGTGTACACAAGGAGAAATATATGAATCCTCTTCACAGTAAGCCAGGGAAAGGGAAATGTCAAGTGTGTGAATCACAGCTGATATGCTGTCTAATGTCATACATGGCAGTGGCAACAAATGAACAGAATGTATCTGTGAGTGGGTGTATGGTTTTGAAAATCAGAGAGCAGTAGAGGAAGAGAATTATATGGCTTTGAAGAATATGGGCAGAATTTTTATGGCATCTCTCAAAAAGAATACAGCTTGATTTAAAAAAAAAAAAAAAAAAAAAAAAAAAAGGAAAAGAAAAAAAAAAAACAAGACCAGAAAGTGAAGCTGCAGACCCTGTTTACAGTCCATCTGAAATCTTGACCGGGTCATTATCCAGGATTAACTACTAATGTATTTGTCTCAGCACCAAGATATATTCTCTGCTACAGACCCACCGCAGAAGTGATCAATTAGTTTATCATTTAGTCTTAACGCCCTTTAACACCTTTCAATTCTAGTTGCTGGTTGCTGGTAAACAGTCAGACATTAAGGTGGGGTTAAAGTAGAAGTTTATTAGGACATAGGCTAATAGTAGAAGTTTGTTAGGCTGTTCTAGTCACATATTCATAGAATCATAGAATGGCCTGGGTTGAAAAGGACCACAGTGATCATGTAGTTTCAACCCCCCTGCTATGAACAGGGTCGCCAACCACCAGACCAGCCTGCCCAGAGCCATTTCTGAGGAGAGCCATATTCTGAGGACTTCCTACTGTTTCCGTAGCTGTTGTCAGTTCTGTAGATAATGCATACGTGATGGTACTTAATTTCTCACAATGCAGTTCACATGTGACCTGTTTTTTGTCTCTTCGTTATTTCCAAGAATATTACTGTACAAAAACAAGGTGAGTACAGTTATTGTGGTGACAGGGTGAAGAACGTCCTCAAAATTTGAAGGAGGCTCTATCTCCTGCTTCTGGATCTGGATGTTCTCTTTCTTTAATTACAGGGCTTATGGATTCTATCTCAAGAGATTTCCATGACCACACTTTGATTTTGCTTTCCTGCAGATGGCGAAGCTCCGTAGCTTATCAAAGAATGCTGAGAATGAACCTAATCTCCCCCTGGTCGATAACTGGCGCCCAACTCAGCCTCGGTATTTCAGGATGGTGAGCGCATCATTCCTTTAGGACCTGGCTCAGGTTTGTTGCCCTTCAGTGAGGTGATCTCTAGAACTAGGAAGTGGTCTTGCTTTGGATCCTCTTGTATTTACACAGGACTCCAGCTGTAGGTTTGGAGGCTGAAACTTTGAGATGGGAATTTCACTTTCAGAGGATAAAATTTACATTTGAAAATGCTACTACTAAAATGGAAATAAAAAATCTGTTTGGCTCTTCGTAACTGCTTTAGCATTAGCTTTTCTTATTAGTATGAAGGAAGAAAGAAGACGTTACTAATGAATATAAAAGAATTTCTTATTGCCTGTGTCTCTTGGTGCTTGCGTTATTACAAATTAAAGAGATTGCAGTTAAGAGAGGTAATTGTTTTCGAAATAAAACCATATTTTTTGGAAATTGTTTTCAAACTAAGCGTGTTCTACTCTGAGCTGCACCAGTTATGCACATTAATAAAAGAGAGCACTGTTGATATTTGATATTCATATAAAATAGGTTAGGATAGCAAACTGCTTCATTACCACTGATTTCAAAGTCAGCTTTTAACCTGATAAAACAAAGGACAGGTGTAAAGAAAGGTCTATTCTGAAAACTGCATTCCCTAAATCATACTTAGATAAAACTATGGAATTGAGGAAGAGCTATTTCTATTTGTGTCAAAACTGGTTGTCCATATTAAAAAACTAATTTGCTTTTCAACGTTGTAGCAATCAAAGTGACATGGATTTTGAGAACTTCATCTTAGTATCCTAAGTATATATATTTTCTCCTTGTATGCTAATACCTTCTCTCTGTTAGTAGATTGTTAAGATAGCAAAAGTTCTTAATTTTTAGTGCTTTTTTGAGGCATATTTTTTGTTCATGTGCAAATATAATTGGTTCTGCTATTAATGAGATTTGTGCATAAATATCTGAATCCACAGTTTGACTCTTCTGATCAAAAGGCAGTAGATCAAGGTGTTCTTTCTCTTTTGTTTTGGCATCAAGAACAATGGAGCAGAATTGTAAGCCAATAGTTGAAATAACAGTATCTCTGCATTTAAAAATCCAGTGTTAATAAATACATGTACTTATGGATTTTGGTTTTGCATGTTTGTTTTTTTTTTCCAGTTTTGGGAGCACGAAAAAAGAACAAAACTTTCAAGAAAGACTTTTCAATGTCCTCTGTAATACATCCTCATGAAAATTGATGATGGGTGGATTTTCAGATTTTACTTGAACTTCCAGAATACTGAAAATATTTTATATGACTGCGTGGAAATAACATATTAAAGGTGGTTTGTGGCTGAGAGATCCACATCAATTCTTCCAGTGAGATTTTTTGCAGTGGGTTTTATTCTGTATCTGAATCTGGGTTTCTAGAAGATGCTCGAACCAGCTTGCGTGGCTTAGGAGCCAGGGACGGTTTGTGCTTGGAGTGTAGCATAGATTGTATCTAAGCAACGGTGCTTGGTAAATGGATTTCTGGAATGCTCGCTTTTGTTCCTTCGACATGCTTGTCTGAACACTGTACCCTAGGTATGTGATTTATAGAGTTGCTTATAACCATGGTTTTAGGTTCTGTATCTATATAAGGTCTGCTGTGTTTACAATAAACGAAGCTGTTCACTCATATTGAGTTGGTGTGCTTCCCCAGGTTTATCAGCAGGTTTCCCTGGCCAAGTGGGTTATTCCCGACATTTGGCGCCCGAACAGGGACCTGACTGATGCACCTGGCGTTGCGAGTCTTGCGCGGTTGACAACCGGAGCAGATTCGGAGGGCAACCTGTGTGAATAGCTGGCCAGCTGAGCGCGACCGCGGGAGGCGGATTGCGGATCTCCATCAGACGGAATGGAGCGGGAGGTAGCCCAACAATTGCTTTTACGTTATTTAGAAAAATGTGGGGTGGATACGGGAGTTTTAAAGTCGGTACCGAAGGTTTTAGATTTTGGGCGATCGGCGGGGGTGTTCTTGCATGCAGGAACCTTATTTAATGTTGATGAGTGGCGTACGTGTGGTGATATACTTTGGGATCAGGTGATTGATGATAAAAAGGAGGCTAAGAAATTGATGAAGCCTTGGAGAGAGATTATTAACTGTATTAAGAGACACAAGGTGGAGCAGGATATGGCCGGTCAGGCAGCTCAGCTATTGGGGGTTGGGACGGCTACGGGGAGAATCCAGGATCCCCCCCATCCATCTATGGGCATCCCTGTCCCCGTTAAGTTGGATAATTACGTTTTGCCCAGCGCTCCTCGAAAGGAAGAGTCGGATTCGGAGCCCGACTTATTCCCTGAGGAGGAAGGTAATGGGGATTTGCCCCCCCCCCCTCCACTCACCTCTGCACCTGTGCCGGCGGGGGCTTCGCCAAGGAGAAATGAACAAAAGGGCTGTGACAATGTTACTCAAATAGGGAAAGATAGACGGGTTACAAGACTTAATTGGTCTAAGATTGCGGAGCAAGCCGCACATCAGGGGGAAGTGGATATAGTGGAGATTGTGAGTCAAGCTTTTCCAATTCGTTACGATACAGGACCGGATGGTGAGGTTCACGGGGTACATTTGCCAATCGATTGGAAAATGTTATTTCAGTTGCGGGCTACAGTGGCCGAGCATGGGTTACATAGTGAACCGGCTCGACAGCTGTTGACGTATATGTGGGCTAGTAGCATTTTGGTTCCGGAGGACATAAAAACTATAATGCGCGTGATTATGAAGCCCTCTGAGCAGATGTTGTGGCAAGCACATTGGCGGCGGCTGTGTGAGTTGTCTGCACAGACCCCACGGGATATGCACCACCCATTGTTTCAGGTTACGGTTGATCAATTGACAGGCAGCAATATGTTTTCTTGCCCTGACATTCAGGTCCAGATGGGACCTGAAGTTTGTATGGAGAGTATGAACTTGGCATGGGATGCATATAACATGGTAAAGACGTCAAAGCCGACACCATCATATTTATCAATTAAGCAGGGCAGAGAGGAAACTTTTGCTAGCTTCGTTGATAAATTGACTGAGGCATTGTCGCATGCCGATGTGCCAGACTGGATGCGTGCTTCTCTGTTACGTCAGTGTGTTCTTGGAAATAGTAATTCCGTTACGAAATCTGTCTTAGCTACATTGCTTCTGAATGCTACTCTAGAGGAGATGTTAGAGTGCATGAACCATGTACCTACGGCGGCTCAGGCAATGTTAGTGGAGGCTGTGCGAGCGATGGGAGAGACTATAAGTGAACGCCTGGCTACTACTCATAATCAGGCATTTGCGGCATTCGCTCCGTTGTTACAGAGCAATAACAAAAAGCAGAGTGAATCAGCTAAAGGGAAGCAGCGATGTTTCCGATGCGGTAAACCTGGGCACTTTAAACGAGATTGTAAATCTAAGGTATGGTGTGATAACTGTCAATCTGGCACCCATGGTACGGCGGTATGTCGGTCAGGAAACGGCAAGCAGAGCGTGAGTCGCCGCGCAACGACAACAGTAGTGACCTCGGCAAACAATGCGTTGCCGACTCTGGCTGCTCCGGCTCCGCCGTCCTCTCCCCAGCCACCCCCGGCAGCCTCGGCTTGGACCTGGCAACCGCAGTAGATGTCATGTTAATCGACACTAGGCCACAGAAGATTGCCTCAGAAGTAAAGGCACCGATTTTAATTAATGGACAGCCTGTTGGAGCTTTGCTCATTGGTCGCTCCTCTACTGGGTTAGCAGGTTTATTGATATTGCCTGGATTAATTGATAAGGACTATACAGGAGTCATTCAAATTGTAATGCACACATGGCATCCACCTGTTCATGTCCCCGCTCATTCATGTATTGCACAACTGATTCCCTTACCGCATTTAACTGCAGCTGTGTCCCCGCGCTCTCCTGAAAGCAGGGGAGATAAGAGTTTCGGATCCACTGGGGGCCTCGCACTTTTGACTATGCCTCTGCATACGAGACCAGTGGTTCCGATTGCATTGACTCATCAGCAACGCACTATTACTATCCGAGCGTTGTTAGATACAGGCGCAGATATTACCATTGTAGCAACGAACGCCTGGCCCCGACAGTGGCCGACGGAGTCGGTCGGAAAGGGGGTGGAAGGAGTTGGTGGAACTGTTCCAGTGTCTCGCAGTTTGGATCCAATTACAGTGACATTAGAAAATCGCTCTGCGCAATGCAAAATTACAGTAATGCCCCTCCCGGTGGGTGTTTCGGCGCAAGTCGGCCGAGACATACTGGACCAGCTGGGTGTTATCCTCACCAATTCAGAGTCTTCGGGTTTTCCCTAACGGCCACTGCATGGGCTTTCCCGGTCCGATTGCGATGGATTTCTGATCATCCCATTTGGATTGATCAGTGGCCGTTGAAACAGGAAAGCCTGCAGCATGCCAGTCAGTTGGTACAAGAGCAATTGCAGCAAGGGCATATCGTGCCTTCTGTCAGCCCTTGGAATACTCCTATTTTTGTGATTAAGAAAAAATTGGGGAAATATCGGCTGCTACATGATCTATGTGCTATTAATAATCAAATGCAAGCAATGGGGGCATTGAAATCAGGATTGCCAAACCCATCGATGGTCCCGGAGTCATGGCATCTGTTAATAATTGATCTGAAGGATTGCTTTTTTACAATCAAAATTCACCCCGATGATTCAGAACGCTTTGCTTTTACATTGCCAGCAATTAATAAGAGCATGCCAGCGGCGCGCTATCAATGGGTCGTGCTTCCGCAGGGGATGAAAAATAGCCCTACCTTATGCCAGTTATTTGTTGATTACGCGTTAGCGCTGGTCAGAAAAGCTTGGTCTCATGCTATCATTTATCATTACATGGATGATATCTTGTTTGCTCAATCTGAACCTTTTACTATGCAACAAGAAGTCTTCCTACAGGAGCAATGACAGAAAAACGGCTTGCAGATAGCACAAGAGAAGATACAACGGGAAGCGCCTTGGAAATACCTGGGATGGATAATTACAGAAGGGACTGTCCGCCCACAGAAGCTTAACGTCAGCTGTGAGTTACGAACCTTGAATGATGTCCAACGATTTTTTGGTGACCTCCAATGGTTGCGGCCGGTAATCGGCTTTAACTCGAAGGACCTTAATGAGTTACGGCCGCTATTGAAAGGCACAGACCCGGCAGCCAAGGTGTCTTTGACAGTCCGACAGGCACAAATTGTGCAACAGCTATTACAACAGATAGCAACAAGGTCAGTATCTCGCCGGTTACCTGACGTTCCATTGTCTTTAGCCATTTATCTTACAGACTCACAGATATTGGGAGCGATCGTACAGGAAAGCTGAATATTGGAGTGGCTCTTTCCACCTCTGCAACCCCGTAAGACAGTACAAATGAAAGTTGAAACTATCGCTGATCTGGTAAGAAAAGGTAGACTTAGAATTCGAGCTATCGCTGGTTCTGAACCTGCTTGTATCTACTTGCCTATACGAAAGGATACTCTGGACTGGTATCTCTTGAATTCATCGACTCTCGCGGATAGCCTGCTTTCCTCTACTTCCCTTGTTGTCTCCTCGCTAAAACCATCTCTGCTAACACATTTTAAGCAGGTCGAGTGGATGCCACAGCCAAAGTACTCTGAAACTCCGTTGATGCACGCGGTGACTGTTTTCACCGATGCAGGGCGAAAATCATGTAAGGCTTCTGTGGTATGGAAGGAAGCAGGACAGTGGCGATCACACATACTTGATGCTGTAGCAGAGGACTCATTACAAACATTAGAACTGTTGGCAGTAGTGTGGGCCATGTCGCACTGGATGCATCAACCAATTAACTTGGTATCTGATTCATTGTACGTGGTATGAATTGTCCAACGGATAGAGGGAGCTCAAATACGTGAGGTTAGAAATCAATGATTGTTTACGCTGCTATGCATGCTACATCGAGCTGTGACTATGCGCACTGTGCAATATTGTGTGATTCACGTACGAAGTCATCAAACATCTCTTGGACTAGCAGAAGGTAATGATAGGGCAGACCACCTCGTTTCGGTGGCTCTCCTGGAAGACATGTTTCACAAAGCACAGCATGCACACTCGCTGTATCATCAGAACGCCCGAGGACTAAAAAGACAATTTGGTCTTCCTTTAGCAGATGCACGAGCTATCGTTCGAGCCTGTCATCAGTGTGCCCATCATGGTCCAGGTCTAGGCTTAGGGGTAAATCCTCGAGGTTTAAAGCCTTCACAAATATGGCAAATGGATGTAACCCATGTTTTGGGCGATGTCGGTATCTTCATGTTACTATTGATACCTTCAGTAGGTTCATTTGGGCCACAGCTCAAACGGGGGAGCGAGCCCTTCATGTCATTAGGCACCTAACTGTTTGTTTCGCAGTGATGGGAGTGCTGGAAATTATAAAAACAGATAATGGTCCAGCCTATACTAGTGCCTGTGTGCGCCATTTTTGTCAACAATGGGGAGTCAGGCATCAGTTTGGTATTCCCCATTCTCCCACGGGACAAGCGATTGTTGAACGCGCTCATCAGATTGTTAAAAGATATCTGAAAAAGTTTGACATAATAGATCTTGATCAAAAATTGGGGCATACACTGTTTACGCTAAACCATTTATGTATATTCGGGGAAGTTGATGTACCACCTGTGGTTCGGCATCAAACCTATCTACAAGAAAATCAGTCTATAAATTCTATAAATTCTGCAGATAAGAAAATGGAAGTGATGTATAGAGATATGAAAACTGGTAAATGGATGGGACCTGCCCCAGTCCTTTATTTAGGGCGTGGTTACATGTGTGTACTTACTTCAGCAGGTCCGGTTTGGGTTCCAGCTCGTTGGACTCGGCCTAAGATACCTTCTCCTTCTATGGAGGACATTGATCAAATCGAGCCAACCGAGGGAACCGCTGTTGTCTTCAGAAGCCAATGTATGGATAACTTGGGCTAATAAAACAAATCATCCAGATTTCTGTCTTAGCTTGAAATCAGCAGGAGGGCCTTTTCGCACTTGTTTAATTGGTTGGCCTGATTATGATTTGTCCGCTTTTCAACATTTTGTATATAGCGTTAAGAAGTGTAATTATAGTGAAACGGCTACCCGTAGTGCGTGCTTGATTGGGCAATTGAATAACACCCTTCCGTGGGATCCTCAGGAGTTGGACTTATTAGGATCTCGAACAGCAAGTAATGCCTCAGGAGACATTAAGTGTCTCTTGTTTGGTCCAGGAAGTACTTATGATAAATTTGCTATGCGCCTTACTAGGCCACAAAATCCCTTAAGTCCTTATTACGGCAAACCATGGACTTCTGTATTTCCTCAGAACGTAGGAGCTTTCGCCTTTAATAACTATTGTGGTGGAAACTTTAGCATAGGCAGTGCGTATGGTCTTAGGTACACCCGTATTTCTGGGAGGTTACAGCAGGAGACCCTAGTCAATATGAATACAGCAAAAGCCCTTCCCCCCGGTATATTTCTAATTTGTGGGGACAGGGCATGGGCCGGAGTACCTAAAAATATAGTAGGAGGACCCTGCTATTTAGGAAAGCTAACCTTGTTTGCACCACGGCGAGCGGAATGGAGGAACATTAATAGGATGCTATCTGGAGATGACTGCCTGAGGGATCAACGCTCGGCAATGATTCTGGCTGAAGATTGTCGTGACGAGGTGCAGCTATGGACAGTCACTGCGAACATCTTTGCGTCCATCCTAGCACCAGGTCTGGTGGCTGCACAAGCCTTGAAGCAGATTGAGCGATTGGCATGTTGGACAGTCAAACAAAGCAATATTACGTCCCAGATTCTTGAGGAAATGCTGGAGGACATGGACAGCTTACGGCACGCGGTGTTGCAAAACAGAGCAGCTGTAGACTTTTTGCTGTTAGCACAGGGACACGGGTGTACTGATTTTGAGGGAATGTGTTGTTTTAATTTGTCTGATCATAGTGATTCCATACATAAACAGATTCGCTGGCTCCTGAATCACACGCAATCTGTGAGTAAAGATCATAATCCTATAGACGATTGGCTTCGTTCTACTTTTCCAGGCCTTTCCTCATGGGCATATGGCCTGATAAAAGAAGGTTGGTTACTAATCTTGCTCTTGATAATTATAGGTGGACGAATTGTATATGGCTGTCTTCAAAGGGCAATCGATCCCCCTCGAGCCATGCCGGTATTTAGTACAACGTTTTCGACGAATGATTTTATTCAAGATTGGCTTAAGGAGCAAGGAGGTCATAGCTCCTTGGAATATCTTGAGATGCGCCCATAAAATAAAAAGGGGGGAATTGCAGTGGGTTTTATTCTGTATCTGAATCTGGGTTTCTAGAAGATGCTCGAACCAGCTTGCGTGGCTTAGGAGCCAGGGACGGTTTGTGCTTGGAGTGTAGCATAGATTGTATCTAAGCAACGGTGCTTGGTAAATGGATTTCTGGAATGCTCGCTTTTGTTCCTTCGACATGCTTGTCTGAACACTGTACCCTAGGTATGTGATTTATAGAGTTGCTTATAACCATGGTTTTAGGTTCTGTATCTATATAAGGTCTGCTGTGTTTACAATAAACGAAGCTGTTCACTCATATTGAGTTGGTGTGCTTCCCCAGGTTTATCAGCAGGTTTCCCTGGCCAAGTGGGTTATTCCTGACAATTTTTTTTTTCTGGCACTGGCGTTTTTGTAATATCATATGAATCAACTTCCTCACAAGTTGATTTTATGCTGGAGAAGTTCAATCTGTATTTAAAACCATTACTCTGAATGGTAATTTAGATTCAGCTGTGAAAATACAAAGTACTGTAGTGTCTGTGCCATGAGTGAATTCATAGCTACTCTTTTCTAGGACAGGAGGGTGTTGCTGAGCTTACTCATGTGACAGGGGATGTGCTTCTGGACTGTCTCCTTACCTTGCATTCTTCCTTCAAATAGGCAGTGTGTTGGCTGCGAAATTTCCATGTGTTCCATGCTTTTTCTTCTTATTTGCAGCCAAATTGTGAAAGGATTCAGATGAGTTAATACTTTCTAGGATGCATGTATACAGTTCTGATTTTGACATAAGTTATCTTACATATAATTCTTATTACTCAGAATTACAATCAGAAAGCCTATGGTGGTTCTTATGTTTGAAAAAAAAAAAAAAAAAAAAAGTATTTATTTTTAAAATGCTTAATTAAATGTATTTTCTTCCTAGCTAGGTCATTCCAGGAAACCTCAAAGCATAGCTTCTTGTTTGACCACCAGTACCCAACACAGTGTTAGCTGTAGAGATAAGGACGTACTGTTCGATTGTGCTTTCTTCTTAGGCAGGTTTAATTCACTAAGGTTTATTTATCTCAAATCTTAAGTAAATATCTAAAACAGAAACAGTAAGTAGTCTATATCTAAGAAATGATTGTATTCTGAACAAGAATACAAGTTGCATAACATTGTTGACTTTGCAGGACAGGGTTTTGATGGAATACCCAGTGTCTCCTACCTTTGAAAATGGCAATTTCCTCATGCATGCAAATATGAGAAAACAATATTATGAATATCTTTCTACTACTTTTTCTCTGGTCAGTTCTGTAATATATACCCTGGAAGATAGGTTATTTTATGAAGACAACCAAGTTGTATATAGTAGGGCTTTGAGTAGGCTATATCTTTCTTGAAATTAATGATGATGAAAAATTGGGGTATAGAATGTCAGGGTTTTTTAAATTGTGAGATGGTTTCCCAGTCACATTTTGTGAAGGAGCTATTTGGGTTCTGTAAGTGAAGCTAAGATCAGCCTCATCCTTTGAAGGATGCTCTTTTGAACTTGCAGACTAAGTAACCTCTAAAAAAAGTGCAATTTGACTCATGAAGGTGGTTCCATAGTATATTTATTCATAATTAATAAAATGTCATCTAAATTAGGCCCAGGACTGTTTTCACTCTGTTTCAGATTTACTCCAGCAGTCTTTTTGTGGAGTCTCTTGCAGTGCCTAAGGGACTGTCTGAGGTAATGGATGAATCAAGAACACAGTGGCTCTGCAAGAGTCAGAAACAAATTAGAAATGTAGGAGTAGAAGAAAAAGAAAAAGTTTAAGAATGGGGGTGGCAAGGGCACTGGTGTTGTAGATTGAGCTGCTAACTGTAAATATGAAGAGCTTTGAAGGCAGCAAGGGAGGAAATGTGAGTCAGCATTCAGAATGTGTTCCCTGCCTTCTGGCCATGTTCATTGTTATTTTACAAATGCCCTTCTATGCCTTTAGCTTGCAGCTTTCTGTAACTATAAGAAAAATTAATCACTGATATGAATGAATTCAAGAACATGGGTCATGGTAGTCATAACATCCCACACATCTCACTTCTATGTGCGTATTTCCTCTGTGGGGGTAGTAGTGCTAAGTGCAATGAGAGCAGAAAGCCCTGGATCCTTGGTTTTTAGCTGAAAAAAAAAAAAAACCCTTTAAGGGGAAAAGAATTTTCATCTGTATGGAATGGAAAACAAGGAGTTATGCTTTATTTTCTATGGCTAAGACATATGTGGTATTTCAGTGCTAAAAAGTAATCCCTCCCTCTAAAGCAGAAATGCAGGCATGAGACATTCAGCCATGTTGTATAGCTCATTGACAGCCTCTTCTCTAAGTCACTGTTCATCCTCTGCATCAAAATAGTTACCAAATAATAGATATCAGAAATAGGTATTCAGCCTAGTTCTTTGCTGCTGTGAGTCTTCCCGAAGCTTGAAAATTTAAAGAAGCAGATGTACATGCATCCAGGTCACTGGCACTCTTAAATAAGAAGGTGTATATGGAAAGAACTGTAGCTTTTTTAATTGCACCAGAAGTAATTATGCTTATCAACAATGAAGATGAATCACCATTGTCATGCCTAAAGATCAGACTAAAAGATGTCCTTGACAAACGTGTGAGAAGTGAATTCTCATGTTGCTTGTTGGGAGCCTCTGATGTAGCGCCAGCATTATGCTGGTCTGAGAAGGTATCCTTATGATAACTATATGCAGCTAGGCAGGAAACAACCAGCAGTCTCACATTATGGAAATCTCTGAGGCAGGCAAGAAGTAGATACACATATTGATCTGAAATTTTCTATTTAAATGGACATAGATTGTAATGGAGATGAAGAGGCGAAATCATTCAAGTGGTATGTATATTTGAAGAATTCAAACTAATCACATTTTTGTTAGGTTTGGACTACATTTGTTTAAATGAGATTTATTCTATGTCCAAATTTATTTCTTGGACATTTCACTGGAGTAATCGAAATGATAAGGGGCAGACTTGAGGACCCATTCTTTTATGTTAAATAAGACAGTTTGTAAAACACAATGTGCTTGGCTGGAAAGACCATGAGAAAAATTCTGAATTATTTTGTTCAAGTTTCGGATTTTGTTGTAAAGAGTTCAAATTTCTCCTTGTAGGGAAGGAATCCACAGTAATGTATCTATTGTGTTTTCAAAAAGAAGTTAAGCAGTGCTGCAAAACAGAAATTCAGTACTCATGTCACTACTTCAGATGTGTGAAATATGAAAAGTTTTTGTTCATCTGCATGGCTTTTAAACCAGAAGCTCTGTAACATTGTTTTCCTCAGCAGACACGACCATGAAGGAATAGGGTAAAGTGGAGCAAATTGGGACATGGGCAGTATAAGCAACACAACTGATCTATGTGTACTTCTGCTTGCTTTGTGTTTTCACACTTTGGTTTCTTTATGGCTAGTACTTGGCCTCCTTATTCACTTTCAAGGTACTCAATATAACATGAAGACTGGGCAAATTATTAGTATTACCTTTGAAAGAGAGAGTAAGAAAAGATAGCAAGATACGAAGAAGAGATGAAGATTAGTCCTCTGTTGAAGCCTGTTTATTTTTTTTTATTATGACTTGTGCTTAAATTATTTCGGATAAAAATCTGAGATATTCAAATTAAAATCTTATTCTCTTTATAGGATTTCTTAAGAATGATCGTGAATTTGTGCAGACTGATTTTGTGGGCAGTTCCCCATTCTGCATTCTGTTTCCCAGCTGCCCTGGTCTCCTTGATTTGTTCTGCAGAGTGCATGGACAGACTTTTTGCAAGGAGCACACTGTGCACAGTGGGACCATTTCTTATATTTTGGGCCTATGGACAAATCACAGTGTTGCTCTGCAGTCTGAGCTGCTTCTGAAGTAGCAGTTGAGTTTTTGTATTGCAGTGAGTATGGTGTCAAGTCTGCTCCCTTAGTCTCATCGGCCTGAGTATTACTAATACTCCCTCCATGGAAAGTAATCAGATCATATTCCCTCTGAAATCTCACTGAGGAAGACTGTTAAGCAAAACAGACCTGGCTGGCCTGAAAGGGTCAAACAGGGAACACGCAGCCCCTCCTGAAAGGGAAGGACTGCCATGTGAAACATGCGGCCCCTCCTGAAAGGGAAGGACTGCCATGTGAAACTGGCAAGCATAAGCTACAGCTTCTTCGTTCCGTGACCAAGAGCAGAACATGTTCTGTGGAGAGAACACCTTTTGATCACTGTACTGACCATAATCCACAAAGAGCTAATTAAGTAATGACGTATTCCTGTCAGCTGCATGAATGTTATCTGATTTAAGTATTGTATACTCCTGTAGCTAAAAAATATAAAAACCCTGTAACAACAATAAACTTTGCTTCTTGCGCCACCAGAGCCTAAGCCCGTCTGTCCCAGGCGTCTTGAGCTGGTCTCCGTCATCTCACAATTTACGTTCCTTCTTCAGGTGTTCAGGGAAAATGTCTTGTTTTCAGCCACTTCAAAGATAAGCATGTGGGAACCCATTTTATGAGTGCAATATCACTCCTCAGCACTTTTTTAGGGTTCTGTTTTGATTATGGAAAAAATTGCAGGTTTTCTATGACACAATCTTTACAGCTAGAATTGGGCTGTCATGCATTTTTTTTGTGACCTTGTTATACAGCATCCTATGATGAATATTTGGGATCACAAGAACTGATTGACATGAGCATTCTGTCCTTTTCATGGGCAGTTTTACATTAGTATCATCTCTTTAGGCCTGAGTTTTTCAATCTGGCAGCTGGAGAAATCCATCTTTCCAGAAGGACATGTGCTAATCTCTAACTATGATCATTAGATAACATATCATGCCTCCAAGAGAACATGCTGAAATCTGGCTTGTTTTGCATGATGTTTGATCCCGCTGTCTCAAAGCCTTTTTCCCGTAGACCAACGTCTCTGTGCTTTTAAAGCCTAATGCTTGTCTATATATATTAATGTATAACAATAATAAAAAATAGATATCAGAAATGCTTGCTATGTAAATAAACTATATTTATTATTTTATATTTTAATGTGAGATAGTATTTTGACTGAAAACACAATTAGTGTCAGACTCACAGGAGAAGATAGCATCCTTCTACTTAAATTACTGTTGCTTTTACAAAACCTGCCACATCTAGCAGTCTTCCAGAATAAAGTAGCTGAGGAAACAGCTCCCTGTCCTTCCTTTTCCAAGAACTGCACATATTCTGCAGGATGGAAGAAAAAGAATAAAAGTCCATCAAAATGGAATAGATTTGATTGTTTCTGAGATCACTGAGGCACTTGCCTTTTCTGTTCTCCAACCTACAAATTGCAGTGTTAATTTTGAAGAAGCTAAATAGTGTTTGATCGGGCTAAGAGGGAGAAGCAGATGTTTTTTCATATTGGTCATGCGTGAAGGAAAAAGATGAACGTCATAGATCTCAGGAAGAGTTGGAGAAAACTGGGCAGGTAGCAAACAGATAGGGGAGATGATCACAGTAAGATGTGTGGACTTATCTAAAAGTAAAATTCACTATGGTTGGAGAAAGTAAGAAGAACTTCTAAAACTAGGGAGTGGTCAAATTCTGTCTCTTGACGTGTAGCACATTGGTAAGTGGAAATCAACTTCTTCAAGAAGATAGATGGCTGTGACTTTTACTCTTTATGTGCTGCAGCAAGACAGAGATGTAATGATCCCACATGGAAGCACAGGGCAGCATTAACATTCACAGGTACTTAATGATGAGACAAAGAGCCTTCTTTCCAGTAGATGGGTAATTAGACCTGTGGTTTTGCCTTGTATTCCTGCGGCAAAAAGTTTATGCAAAAAGGCATTATGGTTTCTTTTTAACTTTTAAGTTTACTTCTCTTAATACCAATGTATTTGTTCTGCTCTTCAGTAGTGGGGCTCAGTATTGTCTGACTTCATGATTGTCTACAAAAGTGAGGCGAGGAGAATGAGAACAGAAATCTATGGAACGATGTCAGCAAGCAAGTGGAAATGCTTTGAAAGTTCAGGTCCCAGGGTTCTCTGCTTTAGGCAATATTCTGAAGATTATGGTACCTGGTAGAGAGGTCTCATGGTTGTTGCAGTTCACAGTGAATGATAACAGTTTTGGGGCTTTCCGGGAACATTAGTGCACTTACTTTCAAAATGTGCATTCAATTAGAAGTATCAGAATGATGAGGAAAGGAACACTAACAATGTGAATACAATGCAAATACAGCTAGTAAACTAGGCCATAGACTAAGGACATAAAAGATCCACCCTCTTCTATCTCCTCCCTTTGAGCAGAGGAACGGTGGATCCATAACACTTCTGCTACTTGCAGAGAGACTCTAAAAAAAAATACACTTATCTGTGCATTCACATAGAAGTGTCATATCTTTATTTTACCTGTTGAATTACAGAAACAAAACCTCTGTCAGTGATGTTCTATGGTAATCAACCACTACTTACTTCCTTACTCCTTTGGTACTGAAAACTTTTCTGCACGTCTCAGATGAAAGATAACACTGTTACGTAGTTTGTGAATAGCTCACTGCCAAGAATCAGGGTAAAATCCACTACAGACAATCCTTGGAAGCTGCTGTAATGCTTGAGAATTCTCAGTAGACAGGATTGTTCTTACCTGTATTGGAAACGAGTGACTGTACAGCAAACGCTGAAGCTTTGGAACTGTCACTGCTGTACCTGGAGATGCAGCCTTATTTAGAGTCCTGCATGTTTTGCAGGAAAGGTTGTAGACGTTTCTCTAGAGGGAGGAAGTATAGTCTCCTCATATTCTTGATGCTCCATGCAACAGAGAAATGAAAAACTGGAGACATTCTTTCTTACTTAGATTTGGCCAATAGATTCAAACGTGTCCAGGAGGGACTGTCAGGTCAATATGCACAGGTGAATATGCACATGCACTTTTTGTTTTGGCAAACAAAACCTTTATCTGTTCTTAAAGATCAAAATGACTGTTGTAAAGAACAAAGAAATATGTAAGCCCAAATAAAATGTCAAGATCTCAGAGAAGTTTCTGACTCTTAGAAGGGAAGACACTCTTTCTGTAAATTACTTTTAAATTACTGTTTTTCTAAAATTTATGTATTCATTTGTAGTAATATAAATTCTGTAGGTAAGAGCTGAAGAGAGAACATGAGATAATGCACTTAATGGCATATAACAAAAAGTGAGCTTGTTTTAGTTAGCGATTCTTGTTTGAAACAGAGCTTTTTCTTCTTTGGTACTGGGATTTTTAAATCACTCTCGTTTTGAAGAGATGAAAAGAGTGAAACTCTTCAGAAGAGGCTGATAGTCAACAGGTCTTTCTAGATCAGTGTTTCAGGAGCTGACATTTTCTAATATATGTTTTTTCATGAGAAAAATAATAAAACCAAGGCAATTTCGAAGCTGAGACTCACACTCAAACAAAATGAAAAATAAACTGTGATGGGAATTTTTCATTTCTTGTGACAGGACCTATGTTTTAGTCTCTCATGAAAAATTTGCTTGATCTTTACTTCTGCATGAGGCCATTAAGAGAGAAGGATGAATATCTGTAGTCACATTCTCCTCTATAACAAACATTTACAGGCTGCTATTTCACCCTCCAACCTGGCAGAACAGCTCTTTTATAGCTTTTTACTCATGACATTGGTGTGGGAGTTTTCTGAGGCCAGAGCCAAATGTGACTGAGCAGCTGTTCTGCTAGGGATCACTGATGATCTTTGTGTGAAAAAGGTGATTCACTGGCAGATTAAGTGTATATTTGCTCTATATAAAAGCCACATAGCTTACATATATTTCTTTGTTTACTCTGGCAGATTTATGAGATGATACAGATGGGTTTCATCTCAGACACTTGGATGTCTCACTGTGTCTTGTGTCTCACTGTGTCTCTTGCCAGACCAGGATGCATTTCCTACAGAGCCTTTCAGAACCTTTCATGTATTTCAGATCCCTCTGACTACTTTTTTTCCCTCAAGAAGCCAGCAGCTTAACTTCTTGGAGGATGAAGAATCACCCAGGACTTAGTGCATATAAACCTTTGCTGGCAAGTTTTAAATCTCAACTCCCTCTGGCTGGATAACTACAAGGTCTCATGTATGCACAACGTCCCAACAATCCTTTTAAAGCACATCTACAAAACCTGCATTCGAAGATTATTTTACTGTGCATTTTTTTTTATGTTTGCTGGGGGAAAAAGGAAAAAAAAAAAAAAGTACTTACAATGTGGATTCTCCTTGAAGAAGAATATGACAACGCTCTGAACTTAGGTTATATGTTCATTTGTGTGCTGATGAAGTTTTAGGTGTTGTGTTAGCTGCCAGTCCAGGCTGCAAGACTTCTCTAGATGTGCTCTCTCTGAGAGAAAACATGGACACTGGAAATTTGCATAGCTAGACTTAGGATTTAAGATCATTTCTTAAATGTGGAAAAGGTTCCTTTCCAGTTAATCTCAGTTAGAATCATTGTGATCTTAGGCTTACCCTGTGAAATCACTTGATGCTGACGTTTATGAAGTGACAGTTTTACATACATTCTTAGCCTTGAAGTTTTATCCCAGTTATTTGCATCCCTTGTTTTCTGTCTTTGAGCTTTCCCCAAATGACTGCATATCTTTCACACTCAAGCTTTGTGTTGGGGGAGGAAAGTCATCAATCTGCGGCATTTCGTACTGAGTGACTGTAGAGCTGACAAAAACAAACTGCTTAGATCAAACTTTCATTCCTGCATTACTCTGATCAGATTTTGCCAGAGCACGTTTGTGCAGACAGATCAAGACAAAGTTTCATTCCTGATGAGAGTCTTCAGTTTCAGCAAGCATACCATCAAAGTCAGAGCACATACAGTGTGGCAGTAATCACCTAAGGAAAGAGAGAGTATGCACTGTGCACCGGGCTTGTGTGCTTTTGTTTCCAAAGGATGTAATAAGTGAAATGCAACATCATATTCATAGAAAAGCTAGGGATCAGTGATGCACTACCTAACTCTTCTTTCTCAATGTCTTTAGACATTTCTGGGTTTTATTGAGTGTATGTTAAATATTTTATGAAATGTGTGTTGAGGAAATGTTTTGCTCAGTTTTCATTCTTTGCTTCTCTAGCAAAGCACCCCCAAGAGACTCATCAATGGACACCAGCTGTAGAGAAAGTATGGAGTTGAGGAACATCCAGAAGTGCCTCAGGACTCCTGAGTACTTTCAGTTCTACTGTTATGAATTGCACACCATCATGCTCCAGCTAGTTTTTGCTTAGTTCTAGATCTTTACACTCCATATTATTCTGATACATTTCTGCTCCACACTGTTAATTTTACTTGTATTCCTGTTAGTGTTCCTCTCTTTTAAAAAACGCTGATGGGTGCAGAATCAGAGAAAACCAATCGGTACTGCTTCAAGAAGGTGAGCTTTTCAGATAAGGGATCCCTAAGCAAAATCTGATGACATGAGATAAGATAGTTTCTGTAATGCTAGATAGCTACAAATGGTTAACTCTCTTTCTGAGCTACTTTTATATCTCCTTTGCTATGAATGATGTTTAAGATTTCTGAAAATAAGGCAGAGAATCTAAATGCATGTGCTTAAAGATGTTATGGACTTGCATGTATGTCCAGCTTTCCTAGGAATAAACCAGAAGAGGGGATGCAGAAGTTCACCAGTGAGAATAAAAAGATACAGAGGACAAGGCTTGCAGTAACTCTAGGGGCAACAAGTGTATGGTGCTGTATGCATTGCTTGGATTTTCACACTACATAGGAATTGCTGTCATGAACAGGGATATACTATAATGCAGGCAACAGAGCTTCAGATAAGAAGAGTCCTTGTCTCAGATTTTCTAGTCTCTGCAGCTACTTTTACAGCTGCAACGAGTGAAACAGAGATGAGGGTCTGTTGGCCACAGAATTTCAGCTTTAGAATGAATGAATGTTTCCACCTGAGAATTGTCTGTCCTCAAACCCACTGCAGTATCCTCATCCCCATTGAGTATAACCGACTACAGTACAAACAAGCCCAATAGACAGCTAGGCTAACAAGTGCCTGAGCTGCTCTGAGGCTACCTCTGCCTGACTGTGGAAGTCCTCCAGAAGCTGGGTTTCAAAGAATAACCATGCCAACAAGGCAGCCTTCACATCTTCTTCAGTATGCAATGCAGGGGGCAAGGTATGCAACTTTGCAAGGTATGCTACAGCAAGAAGCAGCTAGGAAACAAATATTTCATGGCCAGTGATGAAATGTGTGGTATTTGGTAATAATTTCTGCTTTATATTAAGGACTGTGCACTAAAGAGTGTCCCACAGAACCATTCTAAAACTGCTGAGTATAGCTCCTCAATAATGTGATTGTTCATACAATGATCTATGAAGGCTGTATATTACCACTTCTATGTGTATGCATTGATTTAAAGTATAGGTTTAAATAGATTTGATCTGCTGCATAAAATGAGAAAAGTCATGCTTTGATTTTTAATGTGCACCACAGAAATTAAAAGCCTGGATATCAGTTTGTTCGTTATAACTTCTCATAATATATTAGCTTTTTTTTTCTTTTTTTTTCTTTTTTTTCTTTTTTTTTTCTTTTTTTTTTCTTTTTTTCCCTATACAGAAATGTATTTATTTGATCATCATATGCAGGAGAATGAGATCAAATAAATGGTTAGTCATAATTCACTCTTTTTTTTTTCTTAGTGATTTACATAGTGCATGGCATAACAAACCCCAGACATAAATTTTGTCTCAGACACTTATCAACATAGCAATGAGAGATGTTTTTGCCAGCAGAATTACCACATTGGTATGGTCACATTTGTCTTCCTGCTTCATGTAGGTCACATGGATCACAATTAAAAAGTAATACACATATATATGGAAACACAAACATAAATATTAAAGAACATAGGTATTCTCACTGAAATTTCTGAATAATTAAAGATATAGCTCTGATATCTTTTCACAAATACAATGACTTATTAAGCAACAGCTGCATCTGTTTTCCCTTGTACTACTTTATAGACTCTTCGTCCAGAGACAGGAAGATTTGGACAGCGAAAAGGAGGAAGGGAAGTTCAAACTCAGATAATTATAACATTAAAGTTACAGGATTAATTCCTTTGGACTGTCATCAGAGATATGGTGCAGTGGGATTAGAAAATAGAGGAGAAAATGTGTTGCAGTAATAGATTGCCTGCTAGAGACAAAGCTCCTCAGGAAACACAGAGAAGTAGGGCAGGCTCAGCTCTCTGAGCAGGCTGGAAGGACAGCTGTGCAAGTGGGATCTGCTCTCCTTTTCTAACACAGAGAGGTATAATAACTATGGGGTTTATCCCAGTGCTGCCTCTGCTGCTCTGAAAACTCACTTATTAGCAGCTCCCACTGGGGTATTATTAAGTAGCGTGTTGTGCAAACAACTGGTCAGAGTGTTTGATGAAAGGTGGGAAAAAATCTCACAATTTTGGCATAGGGTAATGATCCCATGGGGAGCTGAAGGTCCCAAACAGGATTGTTGATCAATGTTTGGAAGTGGCAAGTGTTATTCTTGCAAGGGACTTTGCTACAAGCAATGCCTTCAGCTACACTGGGAGAGAACTCCTGAATCAGTCTTACAAGCAGTAGCAAAGACCCTTGCAACATTGCTCATTTCTTATTAATGACGGACTTGGCATTGCTGTTCATGTTGGTGAGCACGTAAATAGCATTTAACACCCGTCTGCCTGGCAGCAAGATGGGGTGGCAGAACTGATGCTGCTTCAGATGCTCCCTCTCCAGCTCTGTAACACTTGCGACAATCCAGTGCTCACAACAGTGGTGTTTCTCATTGCCTATACAATGTGTTTGCAGAAAAGCTTCTGGACCCGTCTTCATTAAATATGTGAGGTGATCTAGGATCAGGAGATGAAGGACAGAAACTTCTTGCTGTTTAAAGACTTAATTATAAATGCTAAGAATACAAGATCAAAGTTATCTTTCTTCCCAATCACTGTCTCTGATTCCAAGCCCCAGTAGACATCTTCTAAAACCTCTTCTAGCTTGTATTTCATTAAATTTCAGACAGTCATTTCTTTTGTAGGGTCCATGGGTCAGCTTTTCCCAATACTGAAAAAGCCCTAAGTAAGTCCAGTGTCATGGCATGGAGTTACTTCAAAGTAATGACTGAATTAATAAGAGGAGAATTGAGTTAAAAGTAAGCCCTGTAGAGCTGCAGCCTGAAGTAATGCTGCTGGTTTCGAATACAAAGCCAGCTGCGGTGTCAAGTGTTTCAAGTAAGAAGACAGTTTTTGGGGGAGCTGATGCTGAAAGTCTTTGTTTAGGGATTGAAGCCATAGCCAGAAAAAGTGACCAAGCAGCCTTAGGGCTCTGAGCTCCTTGGAAATCCATACTGCCCAATCCATCAGGTGGATTCAGTAACTGTTAGTCTGAGGAGAGGCACCTGCAGCTGGTCCCCAAATTTTCCCTGCCACATTTTTCAGCATGGGCTGCTCTTGCTGCTCATGCTGCAGCATGAGTAGCATCAGTATAGAGGGCCCTACACCAGCACCCTGGTCTGCTCTCTGCTAAAGAACAGAAAGTGTTTGCAGTTTCAAGATTTTGATGTGTTCTTCATTTCAAATAGGTATGTACCATAACACAGAGCTAGAGTTTGATGACTCCCTTCAGCTCTTCATTAGGAAAATATGTTAGCACCAGATATAGGTGTCTGCTTAACAGAGATTGTGGCCATCAAATGGAAATGGAGTCTAGGTAACTGTCTAGAACTCCCCTTTTGGAAAGCTGGAGAAATGTGTCAGTCATCAGGCTGCAACTTCAGGATTATACACTAAATGAATTTAATATTACATGGTGACAGAACAAGATTGTTCTCCAATGGTAATGAGTGCAAAATAGTCTGTGTTTTTTCCAGGAATATGGAGTGCATTTTTCAGGTGGATGCTGAGTACTCAATTTGGTTTTATATGGACTGGTCTGCATGGGATTTGGCTTTATGTCTTAATATCCAATTTTAGATCCTTAATGAGAAGTGGGATGTCATATAATTTCCAGTAAGCTCTGTGGGACTGGATTTCCAGCTGCACAGTGCTCATATGGTCCTTATGCACTTTTTTTCAGTGCAGCTGAGTACGAGGACATCTTTTTAAAGTTTCCATGAGTATTTTGGAGCCTGTGTCAGAGATGAGATCTGATCATTGTTCTCACTGTAAACTACAAAATGTAAGAGGTTAGACTGCTTGTATTTGAAGTCCACCCTCCACACTTTAGAAAGGAACAGAAGAAATAGTCTTACATTGACTGCACTGCAGCCACAGAGGCTTTTTTCTTGTACACCTTATAGTGTGCCCAGTACAATGATATATCACTATCAGAAGTTTGATTCTGCTTTTTCCCTTCCTAAAAATTATGAAAGGATTTCAGAAAGCCACAGAACATAAAGCAGAAGAACTGGAACAGTGTTATCTGCACTAGAAACCTTGTTTTACACAAAGAGTGCTGCAGCAGAAAGATATTTACCTCCAGAGGAGTAGGGCTAGCCCTAAAAGATGTGCTACATATATGTGGGATAAACCCACCCCTTCTCAGATGCCTTTCATTACTAGCTATAGAGCAAAGCGAGATGTATGATTTTGACTGAACATTGACCTCCCAGGAAAGTAAAGGAGACAAATAGGAATTCCTTCATAGTCCAGTTGCTGTCAGATTAGATTAACTCTCCTTGCTACCAAATGCCCAGTGTTTGACCCGCAGCATCTGAGTAGTGCTTGGGTGCTACTCTATACGTATTGCACACTGCTATTCAGAAACATTTTGAGCCAGTTTTTGTCTTTGTTTCAGTTTTACTTGTCTGTGAAGTCCGAGATGACACAATGAATTCCCTCTCGCTTTGTTAAGATGCTGGTCTTTTACACACACTCACATGCATACTTGCTGTGGGGCAAACTGCCCATGGTTCACAGCCCAGTGATGCTGCAGGTACAATAGGAAAGACAGCTTCTGATATGCACAGGGAATGAGGATGAGGACTGGAAGTGAAGGGTTAAGTCCCCTGGGTCTCACATAGTTCAACTGTTTTTGAAAATGAGGGAGACATCCCTCCATCCCTTGCAAGGTTAATATTTGATCAAAGGTTTTGGATCCATACTACAAGTACTGCCATGGTATTCCAGGCCTTGAAACTAATAGAAGATCTAATGGCAGGGGTAGGTAGGTACATAGGCAGTAGTTTGAGTGCCATATCTCCATAGGGAAGGAGTGCAATGTAGCGCAATGCTTGGCATCATGGCAGGCACAGACTGCAAAGTGACATGGCAATCCCATGACTGAGCCCCTCAGCTCAGTCTCACAGCATGCTAAGCATGGGAAGGAGGTACAGATAAGGTATCTGCCCATAGTGAGTTATATGACCTAGGCTTTAATGTGGGCAGCTGTGGGCAAATTTTTCATGGGCCGGGAAAAGATTTTCCCTGATATAAGGCTTTGTCTTGGTTCCTTATCACAGATTTGTTGAATTGCTTACTCAGGCCTCTGGAGAGCTGGTTGAAGACAAGAGGATGCTCTGGTCCTCCAACCTTGTTTCCAAAGGAGAGGCAGAAATGTGCAAGCAGCTGGAGCTGTGACTTATATGTGGCAAGGAAATAGTCAGCAGTTGTATTCAGAAAGTGCCCAAAACCAGGATCCTCATGTTCTGTGGCAGTCAACCAACCGTGAGAGGAATCTCTGTTGGCTCCTCGATTCAGAAATATGTCCAGCCCTTTAAAAAGGATCTGCATTTCTGAGGTGTATCATGGAAAGTAAGCCCAGCTGAGCGTTCCTAATTTTTGTGTGGTAATGGACTTACCAGAGATTTTCTAACCGTTCCTTCCTAGCGCTTTGCCATTGAATTCCTGCGGACTGTTCTGCCCTCTAGTGACGGCTACGTTATTTAACTGTGTGTCACCCATTAAAGTGGCGCTGGCGGTAGCTTTGAGCCAGAGACAAGAGGCAGGAAACCTCAGGAGATTTCATAGCAGAGCCCAGGGCATGTCCGCCCTGATGCATCACCTAGCCGATAGAGCAGTAGGCTGTACGAGGAACATGGCTTAGGGCTGAGAGAACCACAAATGGTAGATTTGCCACTGGAGCAAAGCTGCAAAGGGGCTGGGGAAGCTCTGTGTAAAGTTCAGTAGAGGCTAAGACCAGGGCTGAGGGCCTTTTGCAGCCTACACCTTTTTAGGCAGCTCCTTTTCAGCTTCATACCAGTGGCAAATCTATGCTATGTCTCTTTCCCAGACTTGAGCCTGACCTGGCCTTAAATCTTGACCTTGGCTTAGCCTTGAGTCCAGACTAGCTTAGAAGAAAGTGGACAAGTAGTTCAAAAGTAGAGGTTAAAAAAAAAAAAAAAAAAAAAAAAAATCTTTTTACATGTTACAGCTTCTATTGGCATCCTCTAAGCAACTTCAGTCCAATAGGAATTTTAGACTTAGCCTTTATCCTAACTCTGACCCTTTCCCTAACCCTATATGTGTGCCATGGCTAAACTTTGGCCCAGGTTGCCACACGTGGCCCTCATGAAAAAAATAAGTCAGAAAAAAATGTTTTTTGTAGCCTACCCCTACTTCCATTAGTAGCTTTGTTTCAACAACTGCTCTACATTTTGGTAAGTTTTCAACCTCTTTCAACCATGGCCACCTCAGGGACATGTTCCTGCACTGCTCATTTCTGCTTTTCGTGGTCTTCCCTACTGGGCAGGGCCAGGGAAACGCAAGTGATGCTGTGGGGATGAGCACTGAGAACGGCTGCAAGCAGCCACAGGCACAGCACAGCACAGCTAAAGCCTCACTCAACCTCCAAGCCTCTCAGAAATGCTCAGCAGGATCCAGGTTCGAGCCAGACAGCCAGGCTCTACTGGTGCCCCAATACAAGCAGTGAAGGCAGTCTGTTGCCTGCTGATGTCAGTCTGTTGCTCAGGGGCCCCAGTACAGGAAAGCTGTTGGAGAGGAGGGCCGTGAAGATGATCAGTGGGCTGGAGTACTTTCCCTATGAAGAGAGGCTGCGGGAGCTGGGCTTGTTCAGCCTGGAGAAGAGAACGTTGTGAGGAGACTTCACTGCAGGCTTCTGGTATTTCGAAGGAGATTATAAAAAGGAGGGGAATCAACAGGAGGGTGGATACCAATAGGACAAGGGGGAATGGTTTTAAGCTCAAGGACAGAAAGTTAAGACTGGATATCAGGGGGAAGTTCTTCACAGAGAGTGGTGAGGTGCTGGAACAGGCTCCCCAGAAAGGCTGTGGATGCCCCATCCCTGGAGGTGTTCAAGGCCAGGCTGGGTGGGACCATGGGCAACCTGGTCTAGCACCAGATCTGGAGGTTGGTGGCCCTGCCTCTGGAAGGAGCTTGGAACTTGATGATCTTTGGGGTCCTTTCCAACTTAAGCTACGCAATGATTTGGATCATTTGGGTTGGAAGAGACCTCTAAGGTCATCAAGTCTAACTGTTAACATAGTGCTGCCAGGTCTACCACTAAACCAGACCTGTCCAACCGACAGCCCTCGACTGGATGCTCTATTTATTAGGTAAAATGCTACACAACTACTTCTGGAGGTCACCTCAATTAATTCTAATCAAAGCATTGCTTTTGGGTGACTTCTACCTTGTTCACTGGGGCAACTGTGCAACTGAAGAACCTCTTTTAGTTTGTGCAAATTTCTACCGTACATTGAGGAATTCTGACACATAGCTTCAGCGTTGGTATAATTAATGTCCTTCAGGAAAATGAAGAGTACTTAAGACAAAGTTGTATTATAGGTTACTCATAAGGAGCACTCTGCCTCTCCACGGCAGAGAATACTGAAACTGTTGAAGTTGTAGCATTCGTCTGTTCAGATAGTATTTGTCCATGTAAGTGCCCAACACTTACTCTTGCACTGTGGGAATGTGAACTTCCATTTGTTTTTTTTAATTAAAAGATCTTTTATATCCATTTGTACTATCATATATATATATATGTATATAAACTTATGGGCTTATAATAATGAATATTGCACAAATCAGGGTAAGCATTTCTTAAAAATCTTGGCTCACATTAGTAAACCATACAGGTACATTTGTTTGTTTTTCATGAAAAATAGATTACAGTGGTATCATTAGAGTGCAAATATGATGTGAAACATAATCTTTAGGGTAAAGTTATTAATCTTTATAATCTTTAAAGTAAAGCTATTGCACAAGCTGTGTTTAGATATCAGTATTCAAATACATTCATTTGAATGTAGAGCTGTCTGGAAAGGTTTTCTCCATATCTTATTCTTCTTACTGAAATTATTTGATATTCAGAATTTTTCCTTTGCAGGCAGGTGCAATCACATTAGCTTCTGTCTCCAAAACACAGGTCTGTTCAGAGTCATTTCTGACTCAGCTATCTGCGTTGCATAGTTATCAGCTACAGATTTCTCCGTGGCTCAGAGGAAAGCAGTCATTACTGAGTCACTGTTGCCTTCAGGGACAAAAATGTCAATATGCTGTCATCTTGCCCACCTTTATATGTTCATTTTAGTATAAAATTCATTTAGAATACAATAGATAAGATCTGACTCACTGGTCCAATCTGCGGCATGTTTTTAATCTCAGCTGGAACTTGGTCTGATGCAGTCTGTAAAATGACCTTTTTGATGGATATTTACTATGTGTGGGTGGCACCACCACATTTATTTTGGGTTTAATCCTTTCCTTCACACCAGCCATGGTCAAACACTTCAGCAGTATCACTGTAGTCAATCTGCAGGCTGTGTGTTGCACTTCCATCACTGTCTGTGGCACTAGTGGCCAACGGTAGGCACAGACAGGCTCACTAAAAATTGGGCTTTAGAAATATGAAATATGAGTCCTAAGAGAGAGATGCAAAATGCTGCCTGTGGCTTCCATCATACCAGCTAGGTAATTTTATACTTTTCTGTAAAAATGAAATATGTGATAGCTGTTTGTAGGTGATTGAAGGCTTGATTGAATTACAAGTTTGCTTTAATGCTGTTGTCAGTAACATCGGATATATGTGCTGCACTGTATTATCATAGTCTCTACTCACTACTGAAGTGAAGGTCTTGGTAAATAATTCTGACTTAACCCTTTTTGTATGTGAGCGATGATGTTTGTGTTTGGTAGCTGTTTGCTTTTTTTTTTTTTCCTGCTGTTAACTAATGTCTTGAACATAATAGCTAAGATAGTTCTGCAGACTCTCTTTCTCATACATTCTCTAGACTCTTGTACCACCATCCTTCTAGATTCAATTCTTGAAGCAGGAACTGGAGAAAGCACCCTTTCATTTTCAAAGAAGATCTCTAAAAATAGTAGTTAACTGCCTTGTATAGTCAAGGAAGCTTAATTTCTATGGATGTGCTTTTCAAGGCTTACCTTCAGTTTCTAAAGTGTGAGCTCTAACTGGGTCATCCACAGATGTTCTCTAAGAGATTGATGTTCTTTATTACCTCAGAAAGGTTGATCTCACATTGTGGTACTTTTTTTGCCTATTATCTGTGGGACTAATAGTTATTCTCCTCTAATACAAGCCATGAATTTTTAGATAGATGGAATTGATCTACTGAGTCAGATACATTGCTATGAAAAAGACAGATGCACATGTAAAAGCTGGCTGCATGAGCTTTCTATGTGATGTGAAGGATTCACAGGCTTTTTCGCTGGCTAAGTTCAAGTGGGGAAACAACAACAAAAAAGGATGTGAAAGATTTTTACGGTTACCCTCAAAAAGCAAGAAACTTAGCACATTGGTTGTTTAATCACTGCCAACTTATTTTTATGCACCATAACAAAGTGGAAGTTTATAAAGGGAACAAAAAGAGAAAAAAAAAGCTGTGAAACCAGTTTGCAGGTATTTCCAGGGAACTCCTATGCAAGGACTAAATGTAGGAGACTGAGACATTAGTGTGTGAAAGTGATGCATATCGATACCACAGCATCACTGCATGTAGGAGCTAGTGTTAAATGATGAATGAGAGATGACAAAAATCACAGCAGACAGTTGTAATGGGGCCTAGACGTACAAATCCAGTTGCTTATAGTTGATGAAACTGAAGAAAGTAGTTTAAGGCAGTAATATAGTAGAGGTGATTAAAAATGTATATTACCAGCAGCATTCAGCATACGGAGAAATGCAGAGAAACATATTTTGTCATCAAAGATAATGCATTTTTCAGAGTTTAATGTCCACATAAAAATCACAATCTTTTTGTTGTACAGATCAGTAGAAAAATAATTTTCCCAGCGCACATTCCAGAACTGTAATCTCCCAGGACTGACATACAGATCTACAGTGTGGACGAACAGGATGCATATGTGAACATCCTGCTTTGAAGGAGTGATTTTGAAAAAGAGTTATTGCAACAAATGCAAATACATTTATTGGATGAACAGCCTCTATCTCTGGCCTAAAATAGCAGTGTCCCACAGATATGGCGTTCTGATAAAATCTTATTTTTGAAGATATCATTGCAATTTGTTTTCTATTTGTTTATGTAGAATCGTTACTACTTGTTTGTTGTTTGATAAATGCAAGCCTTGGTTGGAGAGGATCCAGAGGAGGGCCACAGAGATGATCAGGGAGCTGGAGCACCTCCCCTATGAGGACAGGCTGAGGGAGCTGGGCTTGTTCAGCCTGGAGAAAAGAAGGCTGCAGGGTGACCTCATTGCAGCCTTTCAGTACCTAAAGGGAGCCTACAAACAGGAGGGGAATCAACTCTTTGAAAGGGTTGATAACAGCAGGACAAGGGAAATGGTTTTAAGTTGAAGGAGGGCAGATTGTGGATGCCCCGTCCATCCCTGGAGGTGTTCAAGGCCAAGTTGGATGGGGTCCTGGGCAGCCTGGGCGGGTATGAAATGGGGAGGTTGGCAGCCCTGCATGCGGCATGGGGGTTGGAGCTTATTGATCCTTGAGGTCCCTTCCAACCCTGTGATTCTGTGATCTCTCAGAGGGGGAGTTTGCTACAGACTTAGCCCAAAACAGATCTATAAATTACGGGCAGCTGGGAAGCCCGCAGTTCCCTCACAAAGAGTTGGCACGAGGCTGTTGCTGTCACACCGCATCCACAAGCCGGCGTCACCCCTCCAGCGGGACCCTGGGCGGGCACCGCTCGGGCTGCACGCCGCTGCTGAGCGCCAGGTGGCAGCAGTGACCCAACAGCCGCTGAGTGCCATCACAGCGGCAGCTGGCGCCGCCTCTGCCCGGGCCGCGGTGGGGCGGGCTGCTCGGGGGGTGGGAGCGGTGAGGGAGGTCGGGTTAGCCGTGGTATGGCTCTTGACAGTCCGACTTTCTGTTATCATACCCTATGTTAATACATGTGCAGACGTGAAGGCGTGGATCAGTAGGTACGTGTGCAAGCACGCTTCGTATTTTGCGCTGTTACCACATTCCGTTACGTAACACGGGTTACCTGATGCTGAGCTGCGCAGTGCCATCGCACAGAGCTGAGCAAGCAGCAAGGGCTGCATCTCAGCCCGCGGTGCGGACCCTGCTGCCTCGCTCCGGCCCTGTGTGGGGAGCAGGGCGAGCTCCTGCCACGCCGGGCCCGGAGCCTTATGAGAATTACGAGGCATAGCATGATAGAAATTTGGTTCTGAGCTGAAAGCAGGGAGCGGATTAACAGGGATTTCAACTCGCTGAGGAAAGAATTGCAGGGGATGGGTGCGGGCTGCTGCCATGTGTTCGTGTCTGCTATAATCTTTCCTTCACACTCTGTATGCAAGTTGGATTTAATCACAAAAATATAGGCCTTTTACCTTTCAGAGAACTTCTCATCATTGTTGAGATTTTGTGGTTGATACAAGTCCATACAATCAGAATACCCACTGTAACAGAAAATGAAGATAAGCTACTTTTATATCCACATTTGCACTACAGCCAGCACACAGACAAATGAATTTGATGTGGCTTCTGATACTCTATGGTTTCAGTCTCCATTTTTGAAGAGTCTTTTTGGGTCAGCATGAATGAACATGCATTCAGCTGTACCCCTTTAGATGCTCACTCATTATCTCTGTACACGGTAGTATGCATACCATGTCTGAATAATTAAATCTGCATTGTGAAAGGAATCTTATAAACCCTGTTGAAGGCAGGAGTAAGACTCTGTTGTTTGATGCAAGGGATTAAAATGTAAAGCCTTAACCTGTAGAAAGGCTATCGAGTTTTTTCTGGCAAAGGTCAAAGGTACAAAACACCGTGGAGTTTCTGTGGTTCTGTAAATAATGCTCTGTGTCTTGCAGAGTGAGGCTTCTAGAGGCGTGTGGCAGGTATGACATTTTCAGCTGTGTTTCAGCTGGTAAATAAGATGCAGTTGCATCTGTCAAATTTATCCAAATTTTCTTTTTAGCAGTCTAAAGGGGAAAAGAGAATCAAGATGAATCCCAATATAGTGGAGGAACAATTTATTTCTATACTTGATAGCTCATGTTTTCTATAACCTCAGGGACGCTTCTTACTCAGCACCAATTTTGCATAATATAGATTGATTTAAATTTTATCGTAACTAAGGAATGCCCCTAATAAAGAAGGAGTTAGAGTGTCCCTCCACTTTGTCAGTGGAGGCCATCAACAGGGTGATTAGGGAGGCTGTCCTCATCTTACCTTTACACAGTCAGTGGAGAAATGCTTAACTGTTCTTTCATTTTGTGAGTCAGGCAGGCAGAAAGAAAAGCAAAGAGCTAGACTGCAGCCTAGGGCTGTTCAAATCACTCTTTCTTTTGTTTGTTTGTTTGTTTTTCTATTAACGGGAGCAAACAGTAATGTACCATAAAACAGAGTCCACTTTTTGTAATGTTGCATTTAATGACCATGTCTACATAGCACGATTTCTAATGGGCAGTTTCTTAACCAATACAACGTCTTTCTTGTCTCCCCTTAATCTGTGACACTGTGCCTCAGTATTGCTATTTTTCCTTTCCATGTCTACAAGAAGAGAAACTGCACTGTTACTTTTAGGGAATCTGATCTGATGAGATCTGTACACCAATAGCTTCCAAGAGTGCACCCGGGATAGTCTGAAGTATTAACACTTACCAAAGGTCAAGAAACAGAGATAAGCAGTGTAAAAGTTGTCATCACGAGGTGCCTCAAAAGTCTGAGCGACTCAACGCAAACATGTTTGTACTGACAGTGGACAGCCGGTGCCTTGTTTTATCTGTACGTTGTTCAGTTTTTAAATTATATAGGAAGCCTAGAAAATGGAGTTGCTCCAACTGTGGCTAAGTATGTCTTTCCAATCTTACAGTGAAAGTGCTCTTTTTTTTTTTTTTTTTTTTTTTTTTGTAACTGCATATTGTTTAGTGTTATTTGTGGCTTTTTTTTTTTTCTTGCTACAGTCAATATCTGTTAAATTCTCTTACAGACTCAATATCATGGAGGTATGTATAAATTTTTATTCTAAGGAACTGATATTTCCTTAAATTTTCATGAAGCTCCTAATTCATAAGTATTTATATTTATTTATTTGTAAACAAGAAAGGATAAGACAGTAAGCAAATAAATATAACAAGAGCAGTCAGGAAAATAATACAAGCAGACCAGAATGTGCTAGGAATTTCAAAAGTGAAACAATTTACCCTAGGTTCATGAAAATGAGATTCAACAAAGAAAACAAAGGCTTGCTAGCAGCTTGCCTAGTAGAGTTATGTAATAGCAGTCATTTGCTGCCTGTCTGCAGAGTACTTCCTTTTTAAACACCAGTAAGATGTTTAGCACACCCTGTGTAGTGCAGCAGGGGCTTGAGCACATGAGCTCACTGTTTTGTTGTTTGCACCTGCCTTCCCCAAATGCCTGGAATTTCTGGTTACCCAGCAACCCTGCAGGTGCATTTGGGCACCTGTAATATCTGTGTGGTCTGGAATGGCTGTAGTGCTGAAAAGCCGTGATGTCTGGACCTGCAAAAAAAGACAGAACAGAAAAGGACCTGAACTGCGTAAAAGCGTGCCAAGAAGGAGCACGCTGACTGTTGCTATTTAGTTCTTTAACAATACTATCTTGCTTTTTCTGACACTGTACTGCCAGACATTTTCCATTCAGCCCCAGACTGTGATGCCTGATAACTGCAGGACTGAAAACTGTTAAGCAGACCTACCTGTCATGGTCTGTGGTTTTACAGCAAAGTGTAATTAAGCAGCTGCACCTGCTGGCTCTCATCAGTTTTAGAAAATGATTGCCTTTACCTGCAAACTGCTTATACATGTAAAACTGCAACAGTGGTATTATAAAGTGGGAAGAGTTTGGGTGCTGAAATTTATTTCACTATTTGCTAGAAAAGCATGTAGTTTAGGGAGGATAAGCAGGGTAAGGAAGGGAAAGCAAGCATAGGAAGGTATTTCCTTGTCTTCTCTTAGACGAAGATAAACATACTATATAGGAAACAAGAACCCTTGTGAAAATGGCTATTAACAATGCTCTCATCCCTTTTTGTATTTAAAAAAAAAAAAAAAAAAAAATGTATAGAAGTAACAGGCAGCATTTGTGAAAGCAGGAAACTTGACCCTGCGACATCTTCATCAATGGCATAGACAGTGGAATTGAGTGTACTCTCAGCAAGTTTGTTGATGACACCAAGCTGAGTAATACAGCTGATGCAGTAAAACAGGTATGCCATCCAGAGGGATGTGGACAGGCTCAAAAAGCAAACCCATTTCAACCCAGGTTCAACAAGGCCAAGAGCAAGGTTTTGCACTTTGGTTCAGGCACAGAAATGCATATATCGTGGGAGGAGAAGTCACTTGGAGCAGCCCTGAAGAGGACTTAGGGGACCTGATGGATGAAAAGCTGGCCTGAACCAGCAGTGTGATCTTGCAGACTGAAAGGCCAACAGTGTTCTGGGCTGCATCAGAAAAGTGGTGACCAGCAGGGGGAGGAGGGGATTATTCTCCTCTACTCAGCCATCCTGAGGCCCCATTTGGAGTACTGCATCCTGGCCCCAGGCACTCGGTAGAAGAGGGATATGGAGCATTTGGAGCAGCTCCAGGGGAGGACTACAAAGATGATCAGAGGGCTGGAGGATCTCTCTTGTTTAGTATGGAGAAGAAAAGGCTCTGTGGAGATCTCACTGTGGCCTTCCAGTACTTGAAAGAAACTTATAGGGAGGAGGGAGACCGACTTTTTACAGGGTCTGATAGTGACAGGACAAGGGGCATGGCTTTAAACTAAAAGGAGAAAATTAGATTGGATGTTTGGAAGAATTTAATGAGTATAATTAATGATTAAACTATTTGGTGAAAGTGGAGATTAACTACCACTTCATTATGGCTGTACAATTTTCAGAAAATAGGAGCAGGAGGAAAGGAGTGTTTCTAGAGGACACAGAAATGCAAATGTTTGCTGTCATAGACAGCTCAGCCTCAGCCTGGTTACTCCTCACTGTTACATTTAGCCTGACAAACGTGCAGGTAAAAGGCAGGTTTAACTTCTAACTCATATATTCTCATAAGATTGTTTTGTAAATTCAGATCATATTATTCTTAAAGATAAGCCTGCTAACTCAGGTTGTTATCACCGTAGACATATAAAGACTAAATTCTTAAGTGAGGGAATGAAGTATACCTGTCACTTAACAGGAAAAATGCTTGCAATCAGACAAGCCTTTTATTTGAAGAGTTTAGATGTTCTGCCACCAGATTGAAAAGCTTCATATGCACTGCAGAAAGTGTAAGGGAGAAATGAGATAGAAATCCATATTTAGTTCTAACAGGCTTCTCTGGAAAACAACCCAAAAGATCAAAAGGCATGCTAATGCTTGAAAAATAAGATATGAACTGATATTATCAGAAATTCATCAAATCACATCCCACAACAGAGTAAAATAAACTACAGAAAAGCAGAGACAGAATGTCTGGATGATTTGGATGAATTATCCACAGAAGAAGAGTGTAAGGAAAAGTGGGAGAGAATCACAGAATCACAGAATGGTCTGGATTGAAAAGGACCATAATGATCATTTAGTTTCAATCCCCCTGCCATAAGCAGGGTCGCCAACCACTAGACCAGGCTGCCCAGAGAGAAATTAGAAGCATTAAGAAAGAGTGTTAACAAATGCAGTGGAGAAGCTGGAAAAACAAAAGTCATTATTTGGGCCATGTCTACTAGATTCTAGATTCTGAAATGAGGATAAAACACATCAAGAGTTCAGAAAGATTTGAGTCAAGATACGGACCAGAAAACAGACAGTGATGCTTCAAAAGAAATTTGGATATTTTGAGGGAAGAACAACATGTATGGAGTAACTGCCAGTTATAAGTACTGAAGTGAAGGTCAGTGTTCATGGTAAACATGACATGCTGCCACCAGCTTGTGCTACGCTGGACCTGGTAGTTTATGAATGCTGTGAAGTGAAATAAGAGACAGTTAAGAGAAAAGATAATACATGTGACATTGTGTGTCTGTTCTCTTATATTACTCATACTGACTTTTATGTTAATGACACGTAAGCTAAGAACCCTGTTCATCCCCTGTGTAAATATTAGCATAAAGCAGAAGATGTCTCAGATTGATACCTCATCCAGAAGCTATTACATGCCTTGTAACCAGACAAAATATTTAGTTTGTTTCAGAGCCAAGTCCCATGCAGTCAGGTTTGTTTAGCATTTTATTAACACTAAAGGGTAACCTATTTTCTCTTTTCTGTCTTTTTGAAGGAAATATATATATATATATATATCTGTGTGTGTGTTTAATGAGGCTGTTGCAGTCATATACCATTGCCGTTCTCAGAACTCTTCCTGGAATGTAATATAGATAAATGCAACATTACATTTGTGTGGGTTTTATGCAGGCATGAAATACTAACATGCAACCTGTAGAGCAGGTAGATTTGATGATACAAATTCTTTTCCTGAGACTGATCGCAATTTTGACCAAACCTAAGGCTGTTAAAGCTAGTTTTGCTCACTTTTCTAAGTCTGCCATGTCTGCCAGGCACAAACTTATGTGAAATCTTGCACACAAGCCACTGAGTAAAATCTACTTTTCAGTGACTACAAGATTCAATGACTAAAATTTTAAAAAGACCAAAATACAATTATCACATTTATCTAATTCTGAACTATCCACACCTACTACGTTTTTCTAGCGTAAATTGAATCAGACTCAGAAGTGGGAGGGCTTTAAGGCTGATACATGTTGCTTTCAGAGAAAATTCAGTTTTTCATCATCTGAAGGAGCTTATTGGCAAAAACTATGCAGATAATACACGAAAATCAAAGAACCACAGAACTGAAGGGGCTGGAAGGGATCTCCAGAGATCATCGAGTCCAACCCCCTGCAAAGCAGGCCTGCTACAGCAGGCTGCACAGATAGGCATCCAGGTAGGTCTTGAATATCCTCAGAGAAGGAGAATCCACAGCCCTCCTGGGCAGCCTGTCCCAGTGCTCCGTTACCCTCGCTGTGAAGAAATTCCTTCACAAATTGTTGTGGAACTTTCTATGCTCCAGTTTATGGCTGTTTCCCCTTGTCCTGTCCCCACAGAAGATACCTCAAGCAGAAAGTTCAGAGAATGTTGAGAATGTTGAATTAAGTTTCATTTAAATTTAGGTTTATTCTGATAAAATGTTTAAAGGTAGTTTTAAAACGTTTTTTATAGTTTTTAGTTTTGCCAATAATATAGAACATATTATATAATGGACATATTAAAAAATGCAAGGATTCTGATTACATTTCTTTGTTGAGCACAATTACAGATTATTCTAAATGTAATGACAAAGACAGTTCACTATTTATGCAGGTCTGATTCTGCCACTGGCATCTTAATCTAACTGGACAAGTTATATAACTTGACAAAATAACTATTTGTTACTGAAGCACCCCATAATTACTCTCCAAAGTGACTTTCAGTTTGGCAGTTGGTTTTTGGGTCTGCAATAGTTTAACTGTCCACAATGAATTCTGGGTAACCTTTTCCCCAGAACCCTTCCTGTGGTGAAATGTCAGCCTGTTGTCAGTGTACATCACTTGTAAAGAATAGATGAAGCAGAGAGGGTGTGTTTTCAAGGTCAGTGAGCAGACAAATGACTGCAGGTCTATATGCAATCAACGTCTTGTATTGCACAATTTGCAGTGGTGTTCAGAGCCCTTGTGTTTGCTGCTGTTTCTGCTGATGCTGTCGATCAGTCCTTTGTCTTGCTTTCCTGTCCACATGCAAGCTGCTCCTGCTCAGAGGGGTTTTTACATCATCCTAGTCTCCATTACTTCCTGTGCAGCAAATAATCCACATGAACTGATGTTAACACCTAGCCATGTGAGTCTTCAAGGCAGAGGTAGCCATATTTTAGCATGTAAATTTCTTGTAACCTGCAAGCAATTATGGTGCAGCTTCCATGCTGGAGTGGTGTGTCTCTGATTGGCAGTGAGCCTGTGCAAGCATAAGGTCTGGTGAGCAGCCTTCAGCTGTGGGAAGAAGAATCTGGAGTCACACCAGTGCATTTTGTGCACACAGCTCCCACAACTTAACCTTGTCCACAAGGAGAAGCTGACATCACTATCAGTCATCACCAGAATTCTTCCCTCCCTCAGCTTTTCAGAGGATCTGGTACAATTCATGGCCACAGTCAAGTAATATTTTGGACTATTGATCATACAATACTTGGAGCCCTTTCTTAACAGTTGCATGCCATCTTTTTACGTTCTTACTTTCCCTAACAAGAGCTGCTTGTTCCTTTAAACATCTAAATATGTTCTGCCTTCATCACAGAACTACTACAAGTAAAGGCTTGATGAAAATGCTGCTTCATCATAGATTAGCTTGTATCACCTCATAAACTATACTATGTTGGTTTGTGAAAAGATGTCTGTCCTGTTCAAAAGCCAGATTTTATCCCTGTTCAACACAGAGGAAGGTAGAAGCATTTGATATATCTTTAATCTAGAAGAGAACTTGATCCTGTGTGGACAACATACTCACTATGACAATTTGACAGAAATCAAGTTTCTTCCTTTTGCAGGAGACTATCTATAGTATCTCTAGTGACACAGATATACAAGGTGCTTGTCATGTAAGCAAACTCATTACTGAGTTAAAAAAAAAAGCCTGGAATGGGAAGGTGTGTACACAAATATGACGACTGCTCTGAAAATAATGCCTCCTATTTTATGTTTGCCCACAACCCCAGAGGCAGATGTTGGAATGGCAGTAGGACTTGAACCTTCCCACCAATATTCCTTTTTTTTTTTTTTTGCTGTGTGACAGATGGTAGCATAGGGGAAGTTTGACAAAATGGTGTTTGACATGGAAGTGAATGTAAAGCAAAGGTGTGGGACTGAATTCCTCCAAGCAGAAAAAATTACACGCACTGGTCTTCATTGATGCTTGCTGAACATTTATGGAGACCAAAAAATGGATATGACCATATTGAGGCATTTCAGCAGTGTTGACAGTGACAGTGGGTTACCTCAGCTCATGCAGATTTTCATGAGCATGGCATGCAGGTTTTTGTTCATTGCTGGTGAAAATACACAGCTAATGGTGATGACTATGTTGAAAAATAGTGTTTTGTAGCTGAGACTTTGGTCTATCAAACACTGTTATTGTGCAGTTTGTTTCCATGGAAATAAATAGAAAGCTTTACTTTCAGAGCAACCTAGCTAAATGTTCCAGTCAAAACCAAAACTAATAATGAAATGCCTTTGATGACATTATATTTACACTGTATAGGGCTTTACTCAGTAGGTGTAATTTCACTGAATCGTGGCATAGCTTTAGTCTGGAAACTGAGGTTATTCATGTACTCAAGGTTGTTCATTTTGATATACTTGTTTCCTTAAATGTGTATTCACAGCTGACTGTATCAGTAATAACCAGAAGTTGGCAGAGGCAGGCAGTCCTTTTCTACTGCACTGATATGACATGAGAGTTGCAGTGTTGACACTTACATTATCATCTCATGAAAAATTACTAGTACAGGATTATTATTATTTTTTTAATACAAGAAAGATCTCCCTCTACCAGACCTTAGTCGGACAAAATATTAAATTCTGTAATTTAAGTTTCACAGAACAGCTGGCATGAATCACAATGCTGCATGGTCCTACAGGAGCAGAGACAAAATTGTCAAGAAGAAAACAACAACAACAAAAAAGACTACAAGTACTGTGGTGATCACTGTGAGCACTTCTGCTGAAACCACCCTGGAGGCTGATGCATGTTTTTCGTGACTACTCCTGGAGCTAGGATGCTCGCAGAAATTGGCAACTGACTAAAGCAGAGGAAAAAAAAAGCTTTGCAGAGGAAGAACCTGTGCCATTTTTTCATCTATACTGACATGTTCAGTGATTTCAGTGATTCCAAAATAATAATAATCGTGGACAAACAGGATGCGTTCCTTCTGGTGCTTAGTCAACCACTGTGCTGGGATGTATGAGATCAAATGGGGCCAAAGCGAAGCATAAGCTTTGTGTTGTTGTTTGGCCAAGGATGAGTGTCACGAACAGTTTAGAAGTACCTCAGTGAACAGTTTGCATTTACTGAAGGCATCAGCGCAGCTTTTGTTTGCACTTAGGGGTATGATTCAGAAGTACTATGAAATCCGTAGACTTGTTTGTTTACCACATTTAAGTATGATCTAACTCTGAGAAACATAGGAGAGATGAAGAAAAATGTTTTTATTAGTTTCTAAACACCTTCAGAATGTGTGGGGATTGCTCCAAACGAGAAAAAATGCACACAATAATTGTTGGCAACAGTACAGAAATGGGAGACTGGATGACAATGGCATCTTTTCTACTCACAGCGTTAATGTCAGAGTCGTGAGTAATCAAAAGGGTACATTAATTATCTAATCTGTTCCCTGTGTTTGTATTGCTTGAAATGTATTTATAATGCTTCTACTGCCATGGGATTTGTGAACATTTGCTTTAGGAACTGCTCCTACACATTCTATATGTGCAAGAAGGCCTCACGGGTATGTATCGTTCTACAGATTTCAGCAGCACTGTGGCAGAGGAGCAAGCTTATGTATCATACTGGACATTTATCCGAGATGCTTGAGCTTCTACAGATTTATGTTCATGCACATAATGTTCTTCTGCTGCTAATACACCTCACTTCTTGTCCCTGGTAAGCAGCTTCTACAGTGTTATCTCAGTTATGCTGTTACCAGCACCCAACTCCTTCACTAGAAGCATGGAGAAGGCTCTGGGGAAACCTCGTTACAGCCTTCCAGTACTTGAGCTTATACGCAGGAGAGGGACTGACTTTTTGCATGGTCTGATAGCGATAGGACAAGGGAGAATGGTTTTAAAACGAAAAGAGGGGAAACTTAGGTTAGATAAAATTCTTTACTCAGAATGGTGAAGCATGGGCACAAGCTGCCCAGAGAACCATCCCTAATTCAAGGCCAGGTTGGATGGGATCCTGGGCAGCTCAATCCAGTGGATGGACACCCTGCCCATGACAGGGGGGTTGGAACTAGACTGTCTTTAAGTTTCCTTCCAACCTAAGCCATTCTGTGGTTCATTCATGTGCTCTGCCATGAAGCTTGAGTCACAGAATGGAGCCTGATATAGGCAGGAGATAGAAAAGGAGGAGGCTGCCATCCTTGAGCCCCAGTCAGTGCCAGGCCCACACTAGCAGCTTCTTGGTATGGACATAAGCCTGCAAGTACCACGCTGAACAGCATGTGACTTGATTTTAAGAACTACAGGCTTTGAATTTGTGGATGGATGTTTGTGTGTGCTTAGCATGCATCACATACCATAGGAGCAGTGTGACAAAGATTAATGTAATTAAAACCCCAGCCTTTTGGTAGTGCTGCTGGCTCCACTTCCCCTGTAAGCACCCCGAGCAGCACTCTAAGGAAGCCTGCCATGCCAAACACTCTGTCGTGCTTCATCCTCTCCTTGTTCTTTATATGGTGCTGCCTCTGACGTCAGTGGAGACCTGACATAAAGAGAGCAGAGGAATTGGGCTGAAATGATTTTTTTATAACAAGATTAAATAGGAGGAGGCTCTCTGAAGTGTACAGAAATCTTATTCCTTCCCACAGCATAAATGAATATTTTTTATTTTATTCTTCAAGGACACTTACCTGCATAGGATTTTCTATGTGTGATTATGGGCGATTGCCAACACGCTTGCCAGAAAGGATCTGTAATGAGCAAACAAGGCATTACCAGTACACTTCTAACATGCATTTCCATTTGCTATTCCACGTCACACACACTTCTTAATAACTTCTGTGCATACAGCTTTGCCTCCTCATTTCCGTCTTGCAGTTGCTAAATCCTCTTGAATAAAGGCATGCAAATGTGAGTGAACACACGCTGTGTTCATCAGGAATACGCTTTAAATATTTTCTGCCTATACTCAAAAAAGTCGGAGAAATGCCATCAGTTTTTATATGGAATTTCCCAGCTGGTTCCTTTTGGTATTAGCAACAATAACCACATTGTACCAGTGGACTTTTTTCCCCTCTTCACAAAAAAAAACAAATGACGCACAGCTTACAACGCTGAATGTAAATGATGGGATCGTACCGGTGGTGCTATCTCAGACTCACAATGGCCAGCAGAGTTTGGACCCCGGGGCTGAATCACAAGGAAATACTGAAACATATTTGTGAAACATATTTGGATAAACTGTCTTAATGAGAAAATGGGATAAAATACCGCAGCATTGCCAATGTCATTCCCATATCAAAACAAAACAGAGCGGACACAGAGGAGCATTCACGAAGGACAGCCCGCAGTCCCGCTGGGTGTGATTGAGTAAGCGAGGGCACAGCAGCCCCAGCGGCACAGCAGCAGCGGGACTCGGCGCAGGGCTGCTGTGCCCAGCGCTTTGTACGAAGGTCTCAGGTTTGCGCTTTCCTGAGCTCCCGTAAAACGGGCCGGTGTTGGGCAATATGAAAGCATCTGAAATATGTACTGCTCAGTTCTCTTCCCACGTCCAGCCACGGAGGGTGGTGATTCAACTGCTCTCGCAATAAGCGCGCATTTCCTACAAGGTGAGCGAACGTGAGCACGGCTCAACCTGCCTTCTTCTCTGAGAGCGATCGCAAAATCTCGCTCTGAAGTAAGAACCAGGAGCGTCCTCTTCCTTCTTAAACACCCTCCAACGCCCCCCAGCTAAGCGGTTTGATCCGCGCCTCCAAATCCCTTGCTAATCCCTTCCAAAAGCGGCACGCACGGGGAGCGATCCCACGCCCTCCGCGCTCCGCCGGCCCGGCCCGGCCGTGCCGTGCCGTGCCCCGCGCACGGAGCCGTTCCCGCGGCCCCCAGTAGGGCGCAGCAGCGGCACGCCGCCCGCGCACCCCGCTCGCCCCCGGACGCGCTCGCACACACGCGCCCCGCTCCGCCGCCGCTGCCCCGGCCCAAGGTCGCAGCACCGCGCGGCGCGGCACGGGCAGGAGCCCGCGCAATAACGGCCCGACGCGGCGCGGGCGCGATGCGGCGCGGGACACGGCCGCCTCTCACCCCTGCCGGGGGCGCTGCGAACCGTTTGGTGCCCGGCCGGGCCCGGCGCGGCTCAGCGGCGGGAGGATCGCGGGTTATAAGCGGACTTCTCTCTCTCCGCCCCCGAGCGAAGTCTCCCTCCGCCCCCGCCCGCGCTCCCCACCCCTTCCTTCGGCCGCGGAGAAGGGCATGGAGTTCGCGGGAGCCTATAAAAGCCCCTGAGAGCCCGCCGAGGCTACGGCGTTGAGATAGCCGACGGAGCCGGGTGGGTGCACCATGTCCCATCACTGGGGGTACGACAGCCACAACGGTGAGTGTGGGGCACGGCGGGACGCCTTTGCTTGCCGGCCGCCCCGGGAAGCAGCGCTGCGGCTCTGCCGTTCCTTGAGCTCGGAGGCGCTACGGTTTTGCCGCTGTAACCTTGAGATGCCACCTGCGCCTGAGCGGCGCGCCGAGCATCCTCTGCGTTCCGACACGCGGGGATGGGGCAGAGGGCGCCCCGGTGGAACCCGGCCGCGTTCCCCTCATGTGGGGAACTGCCCCCGCCTCGCTCCCCAACGGGTTTTCCAAACGGCCGTACAGGTGCCGCGGGGACGTCGCGCTCCGCAGAGCGGTACCTCTGACCCCCGAGCCCTGAGCCGCCCCGCGTTTTCTTGCAGGACCCGCGCACTGGCACGAGCACTTTCCCATCGCCAATGGGGAGCGCCAGTCGCCCATCGCCATCAGCACCAAGGCCGCCCGCTACGACCCAGCGCTGAAGCCCCTCAACTTCAGCTACGATGCCGGCACGGCCAAAGCCATCGTCAACAACGGGCACTCCTTCAACGTGGAGTTCGACGACTCCTCTGACAAGTCAGGTGAGCGCATCCGAGTGTGTGTAAGGGCAGAGTGCGATGCTGTCGCTAACGCTGCTTTTAATGCTAAGCATCAACTGAAGCTGCAGGATTTCTTTTTTTATTATTATTATTAAAAATACATATATTTTGGAAAATTGGACTTCTCTTAGAAGAGTGCTATGGCTGCCTGTTCTGCCTTACTCTGAACTCTATAGAAGTGAACTTTTCCTTTGCAGTTAATTGGGGAGGATTTGGGTATATGCTTGAATGGGAAAGGGGAAGAACAAAAAAAGGTGGATTATAGGAACAGCTCTAGGTGTAGCTCATCATAAGCTACCAAACAAATGGTTAATGAGGAGGCAAAAGGCACCGCTGGAGGAAATGGGCTGTAGAATAACAGAGGATTACAGTTACCAACATGGAGCAGAAATAGTTTGGAAATAGTTTCTTTGGTTACCAAAATATTATTTCATATTTCTGAAGCCAGTATGCTCCCAGGTTAGTACAGAAACAGAGGGATGATTAGGAAATACCTCTTTGTTCTTCTGTAACTTAAACAGGAATCCCTGATGTTTCTTGACTTGAAGGCTTTCTAGATACAGACAACATATATCCAGTTCATTCCCACAAGTTTTGCAGGCAGGCAGCTGGCCCACCATGTCCCACAGCTCACTGTGCTGTGCAGTGAGGTTCAGCACTGTGTCTTGCAAACCCCACAGTAACCCTGCTGGAAGGAATGGCCCCATTGGTGTTCAAAGGGAATCTAAGGCACGGCTGCGAGGAGGGTTCTGCAGGTTTCCTTAGTTGTAGTTTTTCCCTTGGCTGGGTTTGCAGAAATCACCTTGCTGCAGTGAGTGTGTCTCTATTTTTAATTTGGAGAGCAAAACCAGACTCACTGTAAGTCACTGCATTCTCAAGACACTGTCTGATTTAACTTGTGTGAGCAAGTGCCCTGTTTCACTGAGCATTTCCTTAGCACTGTCACTTAGGGAATGGTACTGGAAACAAATCATGCCTACCCAAAAAAAAAAATTTTTTTTTTTTGTAGATAGTATTATACCAAGGTATATTAGACAATGCTGCACTGAGAATCTGTATTTCAGTTGTGATCTTTATGCTGAATAGTGCTAGTGGGTCAGCTAAGTGGTTCACAGCTGCATAGGTGCATATAAGCCTATGTGTAATTTATTCTGAACTTCTGTATTCATATCTGTATAGCTTAAGAAAGGATGAAAAAAAAAAAAAAAAAAAAAGGGAAAAAGGTCTTCTGAGTTCTTAGTGTTTATTACTCTCAAGCACTGAGGAGCCAGAGTTGAAGTGTGTATGTTTGAGCAATGTTAGGAGGGATAAGTCCCATACGTAAAAGCACAAGGAAGGGATTCCATTTTCATTCACCAGGTCTGTCTGAGTCGGCTCTCACTGAGCCCAAGGAAGAAGCTCTGGGTCCTCACAGCATAACACAGCTACTGTGAGGTTACTCTGTGTGCGTAAGTCGGGGAGGACTGAAAAAACTAGTTTGTGTCTGACAACATGGGAGGGAAAAATGGCAGTAACATAAAAGAATAAAAAGAAACACCTATAGGAAGAATGCTCCTTCTGAGAAGTCAGTGCAGAACCAGAACATCTGTGGTGGGGATCTTGTGACAGATAGGCAGTGACACTGCTCTCAGAGTGGGAGGGCAGAAGATGCAAGTGGGAATGCTCTCAGTGGTTCTGTCAGTGAATCACAAACTGATGAGTGTTCAGGAAAAAAAAGCACTAAACAGCTCTCTGTGAGTCCATGTAAGGGCAGATCCTTCAATATCACGCTTACTATTGAAAATTACAGTGCCCAAAATCTACCTGGCAGCACTCATAGTGGCTTCATTTGTATGCAGCTAACTGAGTAACCTACTTTCTTTGCGGAAAATAAAGCTGTCTTTGACTTGTCTGTGCTTGATTCATTCCTGTTCTTGAATTTTGAGACTAACAGTATAATAATCTCATAAATTCCTGGTTAGACAGCAGTCACAAGGAGAGATTGTGACGTTCTGTGTTACAGAAAATATGGGGATAAAATCTTGTGAATATTCCTCCCAGGCTGCAGTGCTTGTTTCCGTGAGCTGTCCCATTGCAGTAAGGAATTATCTGTGTCAGTAGGCGTAAAATGAAGCAATAAGATCATTATTTGTGAATAATGTTCAACACATGAGTAATAGCACACAAAGGTGTAGATCCATTCATTAAGAATATTCAGGCATATGATGAATGATGCAGCGGTTTGGAATATTTTATGACTTCTGCTCTCAAGGTGTGCAGAATTAGTTATTGTAATAAAAAGTGCAGAGTGAAGACAGGTCAGAAAGCTAAAATGAGTTTGGATAGAGGTCTCTGAAAGCAGTTACTAATTTCAATTCAGAAGGATACTGAATATTAAAATAAATTTTGATATAGAATACTTTCACAGAATAGCCTGGGTTGGACAATTACTTGGCTTCAATCCCCTGCTATGGGCAGGATTGTCCCCCAAATCTTAGGTTTTTTTGTCTATTTGTTATATGTGTGCACAGGAGCTCCTCTCTGTATCGGTGGAAAAACTTGGAATTTAAAGGGTAAAAAATAGCATTTCTTAAGATAATATCCCATTCAGAAGAGGTTATTTTTCTCTTTTCTGTCCTTTTAAAAGATCTTTTTACTAATAGGTGAAGCTCTATAGATGTAACACTTGGCTTAGTTTCTAATTAACCATCCCAATGACCTATGCAATTTTCCCTTACAATGCTGTTAAAATTATTGTGATCACTTTAGTGACACTTGACTTTGCTCTTCTTTTTTGTTAATATAGATGTTACTAAGCATGCTTTTAAAAAAAAAAAAAAAAAAAAAAAGAACACCTCTATTCCTAAGCAATTATGTGCAAACCTTCTATTTCAGTTCTCCTAGCACAGCCTTAGAATTACTTGGGTTATGTGACAGCTGTGGTATTCCCCTTCTAAAGCTGCAGTTGGTTCCTGAAGTCTGTTCCCTTTCTGTTTCACAGTTGCTAGCTGGTAGAACGGATGCATGGAAGTAAGTTGGCAGCTTGGAATTGCCTCTTTCTAAATGCTTTTATTTGCTGAAATTACATTACTTTCTCTTAGATAAATTATTGTATTCTATCTTGTTTTCTTTCCCTTTTTTTTTGGAATGTTTTCTCAAACATATAGAAAACAAATAATGAATTGTGCCTTCAGTTGTTCCTTAGTTTCTTTTCTTCTGTTCTAGTTTTTTGAATTCTTATGTCCGCTGTCTTGTAGCAGGTGTGAAAATGCAAGTATTTATACACATTTGTGTTTAAATTGTTATAACCTGAAGTAGAAGCAAAACCTCTATATGGTATAAGTGTCACCAGGAATAGAAATACAGCTTTAGGTTTATCCTCCGTTGTCTATTGGGGCACATGTCAAGCCATTGGTGCTGATAACCCCTGACCTATTAGAGTGCACCTTATTCTAGGAATTTTATAGCAACTGAGAGCTGTGTAGCTCATTCAGGATACCTTCATAATCATACTGTAGTCTGCCATAAGGAAACGTGTATTGTCATATACTTCAAAAGTTGGAAACAACTGCCAACTTCTCAAAGCTCTAAAACCACAGGAAGTGACTGTGCTCAAGTAAGCCTCAAAAGCATGAAAGACAATTTTGTAATATACACTTTATTTTCATTTTAAGTTCTGTGGAAAACTTTTTGGAGTTGACCTACAACTTGACATTCAAATGGGAAGTGCTCGTACCAGTGAGCACTGTATTCTGTGTTCTCTGAACACGTTTGTCAAAGTCAGCTATTAATTATTTCATAACAAATAAAGATATTTTAGCTGTAAAACCTGCCAGAAGTGAATAGTAACTCTGGTGTAAGCCTGTAAAGACCTCACTAAATATGCTAGTCACTTCTGCATGTGAATGAGTCTCGTTTCCTCTTCTTTCCTTGCTGCTGTGCTGGAGATACTGAAGTCCAGCAGAGGCTCTCAAGTAAATTTGACATTTTTATAGAAATTCAGTCATGATGGAACTTTACAATTATGAGGAGACCTGTGAGATGAAAGTATTTTGTTGACTGTGGGACTAGCATTCCTTGGGAGACTTTCAGCAGTCATAACTGATCACTCAGTTCTGCAATGGGAAATATTAATGAAGATCCTTCAACTGTCTTGAATTCTGACTCTGTAAACAGACTGATCTGTTTTATTGTATTTGTTGCCAACAGTAATGCAATAGTTGTTGCATTAGCAGTGTGTGGTTGGCAGTGGGTTACACTGGAAGTTGTGCCGTTGTTCTCTTTTACCCAGCAGGTAAACTGAGGAAGAAATGTGCAGATCTGCTGCCTTTAAGGCAAAGCTTTTACGCAAAGTCTCTGCCAGGTATCTATTTTTAGGCTTCCCTGCTCTGTGCATGTAACATTAGCTACACCAGAGTAATATTGGAGGTTATTGGTATACAGTCACAGCTTGAAGCTCTGCAGTACAGTATGGGCTATGCAGTGTCATAACCCATCTGTATGGAACTGATTACTTATGGCTCCAGGGGACTGTGTTCAGACACCTGCTTATATGTCACAAGTATTTCTGTGCTCTGCCTGACCTGAAAGTCAGAGGTCCCAGAGCATGTGATCACTGAGTAACTTTGCTGTTCAGCTGGTATCAGTAGAAGCTGCAAAGTCTAAGCAAGATGGTGGTTTGAGTGTAGTGCTTCAAGGCAGTAGGAAGGAAAATGATAGGGCTTGAGATAAATTCTGCTTAATTCAGGCCTTCATTTCTTTACAGAGCTCAAAAGTGCCCTTCCTGACTTTAACCAGCTTACTTCATTTATCTCTTTCTGTTTATTTATTTACATGCGCAACTTCTAGGCAGAAACTTGTCATGGCTTGTGCATGTAAGAATCCTGCTGACTTCCTTCTGCTCTTCCAGATTCTCTCTCTAGAGGCATATTTTAGTACAAAACCAAGAGAAACTCTAGTTAACTGTTACCAGCTGAGTTAAGAGCCACTTGGCTGCATTGCATCTTAAGAAGAAATTTTTCATAGTGCTAGACTGCACCTTGACTATTCTTCCCAACCAATTTGATCACTTACCTTCATAAGTGAAAGGGTGCTGAGTGTTGAGTGCCTAGAGGCCACATTCGCACCTTCCTTCACTTCGCACACCTTACTTATATCTCAGTTGTATGAGCACCATGTCCAATGCATAATTTCCAGTACTGTAAGCAACCTCTGAGGTTAGTGTTATAGTTACACCTGTCAGAAATGAAGCCAATTGTTACTCTTAAGAGAATCTTAATGGTTCCAACTCAGTGCTTTGGAAGTCATTGTCAAATTATGTGGGTTGAAAGGTGAAGACTGAATGCTGATCAGGGATTCCCTATAGTGCCTTATGATACATAAAAAAATTCTTCTAATCCTCAGAGCAATGGGTTTCACCATGTGAAATGAATAGTGCCTTTCTTGTACTAGGGACAGTATATCACATGGACAAAGTGTTCATAACGTAATGCCAAATTTTCAAGTGTTTAATACTCCCCAGCTGCATCTATAAATAGTTTATAGTGTATTTTGTTCTTTTAAATAGCCACTTCTCTTGCCACTTCCCCTTAATTTACTCTTAGTGGCTAGTGGATGTTTTTGTCTGTACAGGTACACTGACATTTACATGCATACAGCATTCCCACTTAGATGTCTACATGATTCCAACAAACAAATGACCTGAAGGGCTGACAAGGAAAGACGTGAACCTGAATGACTTAGGATGGTTAAGCAGGTCAGAGCCTTGTCTGGCTGCTGCCCAGTCTGTGCCAAGTAGTTCAGCAGGGCTGAATTGAAATCACTGAGCAGCTGCTGATACACACGTATGCAGATGTGGTGCAGTTTGGCACTTGTTTAATTCTGGCCTATCTCTCTGGAACATCCTTGCTACCTTATCAGGCTAGCCCCCTAGCAAGGTCACAGCAGGGCTTTTTTTTCTTATGAGATACCAATTACGTAGGTTCTTCTGGTGAAGCTCATTACAGATGTTTTCTGCAAGTGTGATCTCTATATCATATGCTTGCATCCTGTCTTACTCTCCTGCTTGTCATGATATAGTGTCCTAGGAGGAATGTTTGAAAGAGATAACATAAAGAAGGAAACATCTCGCAAAATGTAATATTCTGTACTCCATGTTTCACAGAAGTGACAGCTCACCTCAACTGAACCCTTCAGACTGTCAGATGGGGAAGTCCATTCTTGCATAAGAACACAAGGCTAATCCCTGAGCATACTCATAAGAGCCTTTTCATGCCATTAATAGTACATGGTGCTTGAGATGTTTTTCTGCTTTATCTCTGCAGGGCCTATTTTCTAGCATATAGATATCTGTGCATACACAAATGCCTATACAACATTAACATTACAAATAGTTGCACAATATGTACATTACGTGCACATATCTGTAATGCTAAATGCATGCACATGTCTACTGGAGGCAGACAGAAAATCATGGCTTTTTTTTTTTATGCCAAAGCAATCTGTGCTTTGAGCTGTGCTCAGAGCTGTATGCTGAACTGTCCTGTTACGTTTTAGCTTGGTGGTATCTTAGTTAGAACTACTTTTTCTACTTTGAGCTCTTGACATCCATCGTGCTGCAGTGGGCCCATTGTTTCATCTCCAGTGATTTCCATTCAAAGAGCATTTTTTCATTCAGCTTTGTCTCATAATTATGAGCTTTAAGAGTGGTGTTTTCTTATCACACTGATCTGTATAACAGGAAGAAATTCATTCTGTCTCAGGAAGCAACCTTATAGTTCAGCCATTTTGATTACTTCTTTGACAAGTTTATTGCTGCAGTGAGATTTATTAGTCTCATGCCCTGTTACATCCTTATGCAGGGAACTATGATATTCCTGCCTAATTTAGCTAACTTAGTGGCTGCTGCCACTTCCTGAAGAAAAATATGAAGTAGTTCACAAAACTTCCTGTAAAGCTGTCCTATTCTGCATGGGAAAAGTAACTGCCCAGTGATTGCCTCTGGAAACAGCAGTGAGGCTGTGTGGTGGCCTGAATGAGCAGCTGTCCTGGGTTTCTGTGCATTTCCAAATATCCCATGAGCACGCAACGGAGACAAAGATAGTTCACCTTCTTTATCCCAGAAATCCCATAGACATTAATAGTAGAACCGTTTGTGTGGTTATTTAGCTTTCCAAATTAGCTCTGCTAGTACTTATTTTCACCTAATTTAGAAAATGTTCTGAGGTCATGTAACAACAGTGCAGTATAAGTGCTGGATATTAGTAGTGTAACTTGTTCAGTAAGTGGTAGAAGGTTGAGAACAGTCACAGTTTCTTAATCTAAGCAAAATGGCTCCAAATCTGTCTCACTGCAATATTTCAAATGACTGTCAAATAGAAGAAAATCTGCATTTCCAAGTTGCTTCCTCTTGGATTTCTACATGTCTGTGGAGGCCAGTTTATTGATGTAGATTGAGAGTGAAAAATCTATGAGAAAGTCATGTGTTTTCCAAGCTGCCCAGTACTATCTTCACTCTCATCTGAAGCTATGCTATATAACGAAAAGGGACAGAGCTACGTCTGTATTTCCTGGGTTAGAGTAATACTGAACTCAAAAGTAAGAGAGCTAATGCTGAGGTGATCAAATATGGATCAGAGTATTCCCATCCCTCAAAAAAAAGAAAAGAGCTGGGCTTCTGTTTTAAATGGGGCCTGAACTGATGTTTGTGTCGCATGGACAGGGTGGGGAAGTTCCTAGTGGAAATGTTGCTCTGATGCTCCAGGAGTTTTTGCTTTACAAAAGCCATACTCATGGTTGAAAACAAACAAACAAAAAAACTTTTATACTGAAGAAAAGAAGTTCCAGTATCTTCACGTTTATGTTTTAAATTTTACTTCTTTGGAAAGTCTGGAAAATATTAAGGAAAAATAACTGCTTAATGGAAGCTAGAACAAGAAGGCCTGATGTGTAACTAAGACTGTTGAATTTGTATTCATTCACACTAATCTAATTATTACTTTCTTTGAATGCTCTGCTGTGAGACAAAATAAGCTAGTGCTGGATTTGAGAACCACAGAGTGAGAAAAGTAAGCAAAAACTGCAAAGAGATTTTGTGCATCTTTTGAGTTTTATGAAGCTATAGTAAACTTTGTGTAGAAATAACACTGCAAATGGATTTGAGAATATTGCATGGTTCTGCTCTTCAGCATGCTTTCCATTGATTAATAACGGCAGATTAACCTGTGCTATGCTAGTGCTTCTGAAGTTCGGGAATGGTGAGACCATGGTCCATTTGTATCTGCAACAAGCAGCAAGTCTATTAGCCAAAGGAACTGAAACTCCATGGCATCGTTTTTAAATGAAACATGTTATTGTGTGGATTAAATGATTTTGCATCAGTAAAGATGTAGCACCTAATTACATTTTAAAATGGAGCTAGCGCACATTTTCAATAACCATTCTGAAAAAAACTTGTTCCAATTTGTAGTACTGTGCTTGAAACAGTTGTGCTCCTTGGCAGTTAGAACATGTAGAAATAGAGGAGTAGAGTAAAATAAGTGCCTATTCAATGATTTCAAACAGCCATTCCTCTTTGTATCACACAGTTTGGCAATAGGCAGGGTAAGCCTTGCTCTGATGGCAACGTACAGTGAAATTGGTAAGACTACAGTGGAACATATATTCACAGTTTTCAAACAGAAGTATGTGTTGGCAGACTTCTAAAATTATTTGCCAGAGAAGGAGCTCTGGGCAAACGCTGTTTGTCTATTGAACCAAATTCTGCATGTGTAATGCACACAAGTGGAAACTAATGTGTTTCATACATCTTTCATCTAAATTTCATGTATTCCAGTTGTTTAGTCAAATGCTCACCTCTTTGAGTTCTTCCATTTCCAAGTATCCACAGCTATGTTTGTCCATGCTTTTGGTATAATCAGAAGAAATCTGAACAGTTACCTTTTCCACTTTGCGTTTGGTTTATATTTTCAAACCTGCACATGTGATAGTTCCATGTTGAGACTTACTGCGGACCAAGAGGCAAGCATCTTCTTCACTCCACAGAATCATTTTGTTTGTGGCACGTGCACAGAGCCGATGTATGTCTAACACCTCATGTCAACACTCTTCTGTCACTTTATATATATATATTATGCACCTATACACAGAAATAGATCTGTAAGATTATAGCATTTCGAATGATATTTTAAAAATATTTCTGATTTTTAAATATTAGCACCTCAAGGATTAAATAGTGAATTTGAGACACTTAGGAAAAAAATACAAATCTGTGTAAAACCTTGCCTTAGTGACTTAGATATATAGTTCCACTGAACAGAACTGTTTGTTATTGTTCCATGCTTTATGTTGTGCTGGAGGAGATAGTCAGTGCCTTCAGCATCTCTCAGTAATTGGGCTTGATCCTGCATGTTGTAATGGTGATTGGTCACAGAATAAGTACAAAGTTAAAGCTAACAAGCAGAGTAGGGGAGCTTACTCCTGTGTAATTGAATGTGTGACTGGGCTCTCTTAAATCAGTCACATCACAGGGATAATGTCAGATAGTGGGAAGCGTAAGTTAATGCCCCATGTCCAAACCAAACTTTAAAAAAAAAAAAAAAAAAAAAAAAGGGCTTCTGCAGCATTGCTGTTCTCACCACCATTTTCTTATGCTCATTACTGGAGAGAAAAAGCTGGGATAAGCAGAGCTGGATCTTTGCAATGCCTTGTGCTGTGCCCAGCTAGCATCTGTCCACAGCCAAATATTTGTGTTTAATCTGGAGTCAAAAGTGTTTTACTTGATCAAATTCACCACAGGATTTGCCTTAATGGATAAACTGCCCCAAATGAGGAGATAGAGTACGATACTAAGTAAAATATGATTTGGTCTTCAGGTGTACTTTCTCAGAATAACCTTATGCAGGCCTAGTCTTTTTTTTTTGAACTTTATTTACTTGGTGACAGAAAAGTTACATCCTTAACTCTTCCCTCGTCACCTGTAATAATAGCATGCTTAATTGCTGATGACATTCACTGTAAATTCACTTATGGTTTTATATGTTCAATACTGACTTGGGCTTTTTGCAGCAGTGTACCATTGAAGACAGTCTGGAGTAGCACGACAGCATGCAGAGCAATAAATTAATTCACTTGGGAGACTTGAGTGGCTATTCCAGTCTGAAGTGAGACTTGATAGCAAATGTTTTGGCAGGTGCTAATGGAAGCTCTTTGCTTTGCAGTGCTGCAAGGAGGAGCACTGGATGGAATCTACAGGTTGGTGCAGTTTCACATTCACTGGGGCTCCTGTGAGGGCCAGGGCTCTGAGCACACTGTGGATGGCGTGAAGTATGATGCTGAGGTAGGATATGCTTTGCCTTTCCAGTCTTGTGTGTCTAATGAGTACTTTGATTTTTTTTTTTTTTTTCCACCTTCCATTGTGATAGCAATAGCTCTACAAACCTTCAAGTGGCAAGAGACTGTGGGGATTACCATAGAAGATTTTGGTGCAGTGCCACATTAGGATCAGCCCTTTGCAAATCATAGAATCATAGACTTGCTCAGGTTGGAAAAGACCTTAAAGATCATCTAGTCCAACCACAACCTTACCATACTACCCTAACTAACAACCCTCTGCTGAATCATGTCCCTGAGAACCACGTCCAAACGATTTTTAAACATGTCCAGGGATGGTGACTCAACCACCTCCCTGGGGAGCCTATTCCAGTGCTTAACTACCATTTCTTTAAAGAAGTTTTTCCTGATATCCAACCTAAACTTACCCTGGTACAACTTGAGGCCATTTCCCCTAATCCTGTCACCCACCTGTCACCAGTGAGAAAAGGTTAACCCAACCCTGCTCTCATTGCAGTCACCTTTCAGGTATTTGAAGAGAGCAGTAAGGTCTCCAAAGGTAATACAGAGATTAGAAACGAATGACTGCTGTGAAATACCTTTTTAAACCTTCCATTAATGCAGGCATTGACTGAATGTGGCTGCAGTTTGAATGGGCCCACAAATTTATCAGCTTTGCTTTTTCGTGAGATAGGATTTACTTTAGGCACATCCAGAAAAAATCCTGCCATTGCCTCACATCTGTTGACAAAACCATAATTACTTGTTCAGCGTGAGTTGCAGATATTGGGAATCAGCCATATGAACTAAATAACATTGAAATAAAAAATAAAGGAGCATCCTCGCTGAAGTGGCCTCGATACTCTTGTGATGTCTTTTTCAAAGGCTTTCCCTGAAAAGGCTTCATTGGTGTGTTTTTTTTTTTTTCTGGATTTTTGTTGTTGTTTTCTGTTTTTGTTTAGAGTGGAGGTCAGAACTGTATTTAATGTCTTCTCTGTTGTTACACTGTAGGACCATGTATTTGTGTTGATTAAAAACTCGTGAATACCTGGCTATATTAGAAATACTGTGTCAAAATCCTGCGGACTTTGTGTAAGCAAAACTCATTGTAAAAATAAGAGGAGTTTTACCAGACTGAAAGCAGGAAGATGCAGCCCAGTTTGCATCTAAAATTCATCTGGGACCAAGAGTCAGAAGCAAAATAAAATGCATGACAGAAATCTCTTTGCATAAATGAAACTTCAGAGTTAATGAATAATGTAACAAATTCTTAACTGTACACAAAAGTTTTAAATCTCAGCAGTAAAACGCCATCTGCTCTTAATGTTTAATAAATTACTTCCCTGCATCCTCATTTGTAAAATATTATGGATGGAATATAATTTTCACAGTCCTCCATGTTTTCTTGTTCCTAGCTTCATATTGTTCACTGGAATGTAAAATATGGCAAATTTGCTGAAGCTGTGAAGCATCCTGATGGTTTGGCTGTGGTAGGCATCTTCATGAAGGTTAGTTGAACTTCTTTATATTATTTGCGTTAGTATAGTATGTTCACTGTGTTCCACTATGTGCAAGGAGCCCAAAACAGGATGAAGCAGTGTTATTTTTTATCCCATAAACCCAGAACAAATGTTCCAGGTTCTTGATTTTCTGTACATACAAAAACTGTACACTCATAGTAGAGTATGGCTGTCATATGTCACTGTGATGACCCTACAGCAGCACGCTTGCCTCTATCATAGTGGCACTGCTGTGACTTGGACAGTGAAATGATCTGCATTACTGACCAAGTCATATATATATATGAATCTATAGTAAGACCAGCCTAATTAACAACTATTTTAATTCCCCTGCTACTGTTAAATGTCCAGAGCATTTCATATCAGCCAAATTGTCTTCACAGCTCTTGAAAAAGATGATTGTATTCCAACTGTGTGTACTCTGTTCTGGTCTTCTATTAGGAGGGTGGCTTCTATGAAGAAATAGCAGCTCAAATCCAAAAATAAATCCATATGCTGTAAATTGAAATAACAGTTTTGTTCTGACCAGTGTCCTCAGCTGACCTATTTGTGCTGTCAACTGGTTTGATTTTTAGAGAGACAGTTGCAGTCAGTTCTGTTTAATATTCCTGTTATGTAATGAACTGGTGCTATGAAAATGTGCTACAAAATGTGTCCTTGAGAATTCTAACAGAAAACTAAGGTGTCACAAAACTGCTCCATTAAGTTCTTTTCATGCTGTTTGTGTTACAGGTAGGGAATGCCAAACCTGAAATACAGAAAGTTGTTGATGCTCTGAACTCCATTCAAACCAAGGTAATATTCTGTGTTGAATGCCACCAGACAAAACCGTTTGGTCTAGAAAGTAGATTCTTTACTACTTTCATGTCCACTCTGTGTATGAGAGTAAAACCATACAATCAGCACAAATGCTTCTGTAATCATTAAAGCCAAGGATGTTCAAAGTAAGTTAGGTTAGAGGGCAGGTAATTTGTATCTAGACAACTACATCTATTTGTCTTTCAGCTGCATTGAAACCTGTAAGGTAAGAATCATCTTCCAGATAAGAAGTTTGATCAGGTTAAAAACAGGGGAAAAAGTTAGCCTTCTGTATTTTAAATACTGTATAAAGCATATATGGAATCTTAATGTGCTGAGTAATTGGAAACCAGAGATTTATTTAGTAATTAAGTACCACAATAGAGGGTAAAGGCCTTTGCCAACAAGATCCATGGATGGAAAAGATAAAGAATGAGACTTCCCTGTTGCCTTTGTCATCAGTCTCCATTTGACATAAATGGATGTTGCCATTTACTTCATTGGGCAACAAGTCTCTCAGTTTCCGTATTCCCAGTGTACACTGAATCTGAAATCTTTCTGTTCCTTCAGGCAAGATCAAGTCATATCTGTAAAGGAAAAGCCCATAAATTCAACATTTGAAATGCTGAAATGTCTTAACTGTCCTAAAAAATAAGGAATATAGTGCTGAATGTACATAATGCCTGTACCATAAGTGGTACTAACCATTTATGCCCAACTCAGTTTCTCCCTTCCTCCAAATACAGAGCTTCTGTGGAAGACTTCAGTGTGACAAGCCCAGTGGTTGTATGTTGTCACTTCCTTAACAATAGTCTGCCTACTTTCTTTATTGCAGGGGAAACAAGCTTCTTTCACAAACTTTGACCCTACTGGACTGCTGCCTGCATGCAGAGACTATTGGACATACCCTGGCTCCCTGACCACTCCACCACTGAATGAATGTGTGATCTGGCATGTTCTGAAAGAACCCATCACTGTCAGCTCTGAGCAGGTAGCTCTCTGAGATAGTGCCAGTTGTATTGATTGCTTTGATTCAGTCTTCCAAGTGATCCTTGCAATTGCTAATGTTGCATAGAAATATGAATCTGAAGTGGTTGCTTTTTTCTGGCAAGCTCTTCTTCTTTATGTGGAATTGGAGGTTGATGTAAAATGAAAGATCGTCCTCCATTTGGACGAAGTCCAAGCAATGTGAAGAGTTTAAAAATTTAATCAAGTTGGAGCTGCTGTGTTGTTTTTTTTTTTTTTAAAAAAAAAAAAAAGTGGAATGCATGAAAAGACTACTTGCATGTGTAGAAAAATGATGCTAGAAAGATGCTAGCATGTACTGCGAGCATCAACTTGTTTGCTGCACATGCACAAGTCACCTATCTGTGTGTAGTTGCCCTGAAAATAGCAGGTTTATCACATATCAGAAGAGCATTCTGTATCTGCAGTAGTATACTGTAAACCTGTGGCTGATTTGTTTATTTTTGAGATCTTAGAGCATTTCCAGAATATGCAGACCCCATGTTACAAGGACTGTTCATCACAGAATAGACTGGGAACTCCCATGCATAACTGTAACAATCCTAACTGCCTTGTTCGGAAGAGAGAAAACTTGCAGATTCCAGAAGTCATTTATCTAAGAAGAGTCCCATTTTGTGTTGTGCAGCTTGAGGAGGATGGAACCTTCCTAGTGAGAAGGAGTTCATTCAGACTAAATCAGTCCTGGCCCAAGGTTTCTGCACCATCCATTAATGAAATTATAAAGAAGCAAGATTCTATCCTGAGGTTTGCAACTGCATGCTCAGAAGATACAAATAAATCTTGAACCTATAAATATAAACTAGTCCTGAAGGGTTTTAGTTTACCCTTCAAACTCTTAAATCCCTTTTATTTAATTTTTAGTATGGCGCCCATACTAGAACCATGCCTAGATGTTTCTCTAGATCTGGTGCTGGTGAAAGGTTTAGTTGAGCCTTGTAGTTTGGGGTGATGTGTAATTCAGATAGTCCTGTTGCAGTGAGTATGCATTTGAGGATGGTTGTGCCTTTTCCCACAGATGTGCAAACTCCGTGGCCTTTGCTTCAGTGCTGAGAATGAGCCGGTGTGCCGCATGGTGGACAACTGGCGCCCATGCCAGCCTCTGAAGAGCAGGGAAGTCAGAGCTTCCTTCCAGTAACCTCAGCGATGTGTGTGATAGAAACTGCTGTTTATGTGAGGAACCCTTTTTGCTAAGCACAAATCAAACCTTTGCCATGTGTGTCCTGGCAACATCTTGTCTCCCATATTCGCTCTCTCTTTCATTCTATATCTAAAATGCCAGCTAATGAAATGTGAAAGGCTCTTGGCCAAACAGGAAGGGGTTCTTAATGTGTGGAGCTGAGGGGGGGGCTGTGTGCATTTTGATGACTTGCTGTGTCTGACATTTTGTTGTGACAGACAATATATTGGCTGTTTGGGAGAGCATATGGTGATAGCAAAATAAGCCATTCTAAGAAACCTCATCCACTGGTGTGATAGTACATATAACTAATGATAACTTGAAGCTTTGTCAAAAGCACAGGAATACAAAATATAGGTATAGTATAGGAAAAAAAAAGTATATTGAGAAGGAAAAGTAAAATTGAATACTGAGAATTAGTCTTAGCTGTTAAGAAACTGACATGTAAATATTTTGAAGACCATTTTACATTTTTACCCATACTGTCAACAACCTTCATGGTAGTGTGTTGGATTTTTTTAATTAAAAATGTTCTAAATTAAGTATTATCTTTTAAAATTGTTACCACAGAGTACAAAGTATCTTTTCACTGAAATAATATATGCTCTAATTTAAGGGGGAAATAAAATTGTATTTTAGATAACTTCTCTAATAAATCTATACTTATATTTTTGCTTCCAAGTTGTTGTTTAATTCAGGAAAATAGTTGCTACTCTGTTCACATCATTGCATACTAAGCAATATTAATAAATAGTTAGCATATAAGGAGCGAGTATTAATGACACTGGAGAGATTAATGCAAAATGATACAATGTATTAGAAGAAAATTTCTTAAGTTGCTCTCTGCTAGACTGCAGAAGAAAAAATTGGTTCTGAGCGATCCTTGCAAATTGTCACTGAAGTTAATTGCATAATAAAAGATCCCCTTGCAAGAATTCTGAACAACATTCATTCTGTTGAACAAGCTTCTCCCAAACTGGTCGCGTTAACGTTGCCCTTATGTGACAGCCCCAAAACAAAGTGCCTTATCTTTATGCAGAACACTTATGCAATCTGTTTCTCCAACAAGAACAAATCCTTTCAAGACTGTGTCCCCGGAGTTTGATGTTTAGCCTCACTGCACCATATCATATGAATAATTTCAATACAAGAGTTTTCAACAGAAAAATTGTAGAGCAGAGGATAGATTCCGTAATACTACTGTCTGATTTCGTGTTTGTCACGAGCTCATTCATAATAGATACCTAAATATAAATCTGTTCTACACACAGGATCCAAGCAATACTTACGGGATCTCTCCTTCCCAGGCTCTCTGGTGCTGGGAGGAAAGCCATTTTCAAATTTCTCATCTGTTTGGATTCTCTTACTAGGTTTTAAGACAATGCATTGATGAGCTTCCTACTGCATCAGGGATCACTGTAATTTATAAAATGTCAGCTGGGTAGGCTAGATCCCGAAGCATCTTTGATCTTGAAGTGAGATGAGAATGAGGCCTTCTAAGATTGCATCCACAGATCTTCAGAACATTCTAGTAAATTTCCTCTATGAAATGCAACTCAAAAACAAACAACCAAACAAAACTGCAAAGCAAACATAAAGAAGAAAACCAAAGGATAACCTTCCTTCACCATATGTCATTTGTTCCAATTTCAGCTTTTCTGAATGGAGTACTCTGGCAGTACTCTCTTCCTACAACTGTGTTGAATAATTCAGGGTTTTTTGTGTTGATTGACCTTTCTGACTGTTGCTCACAGTTCTGAGTACCATATTTACAGGCTTCAAAATTGCAGGGGATGTTACACCTCTACAAATTAGAATTACAGATCCAACACATTCTGGTTTAAAGCTTCTGAAGCTTTAAGCTGGCAGGAAACATCTCACAGAATCACAGGGTGGCTGAGGTTGAAAGGAGCATCTGGAGGCCATCTGGTCCAACCACTGCTTGAACAGTCTCTGTCTCTACGGATGGAGACTTTGAGGCTTATGACCCAGTTGTTTCAGAAAGTTTCACTGAAACTGCAGCAAAGTGCTTGTTTGCTGTCACAAACATTATCTTTATTCCTAGAATTTTGCACGTGTGTTAGAACTTGCTTTCAAAGGTGGCAACCCTGCTCGCTGCATAACAACTGCATGTTATGGCATTCTCAAAATTAAAATGTGAGAACACCATGCCTTGGCAACTGTGACATCCTAGCCATCAGGTAATAGGATGTTCTGAAAGGTGGTGTTCTCACCAGGCTGGTCAGTGACAAACAATGTGAACTTCTGCCTAAAGGCTAGGGTAAAAACTGGAAGTGTCCATGAAGTTCTAACTACTGCTGCAATTTTAAAAAAAAAATCATATTCCATACCCCAAAAATGAGACTTTAACTTGAATCAGCCCTCTCTTCCATTTTTGACAGAGACCACTATGTTAGGATGTTACGTATTTTTGCATTTTTTCATCCACTCCAATTTTTGCTCTCTTCCTATGGTCCATGAAGATCTCATGTGCATGCTGGCTTACCAAAGGCAAAACTAAGGAAGGCTCTTCTCGACTTTGTGTCCAGGACTGTATCCTGGAGACAATAAGTCTAAAAATCCATCCGGAAGAGGTCCCTATTGCTTATGCTGAGCAACTGAGGAAAAAGTAATTCTCATCATTCTCTGATAATGTTTAGTATGTGGTCCAGTAACATAGGTGTGTTCTGAGCATATGGTCAGCACCTGCAGAAGGAAAGAGATCAACCTCACTGAGTCCATCTGCAATGAACTTCAAGGAGTACATTCAGCTGCTCAGAAGTGTCAAAATTCAAGTTGGAGCATGGAGAAGCACATCATTAGACATAATAGGTTTTTGTTGTTGGAAACATAGACAACTCTACTGTGTGGCCACTTGTGGAGGTCAGCTCATCCCAGCCAAGGGAGAGAATGAGCATCTACATGTAGAGTAACTGAACAAGCTACCTAAAATAACCCACAGCATGAATTTACAGCCCAGGAATGCTTGTATAGGGTCTCTTCAGGTCAGTGAGAGAGAGCATTAAGCCGTACAACAGTTATTGTACCATTGGATTGTCATGAGAAGCAGTACTGTGCAGCTTGCCCTGATATTTATGCAATGACAGCTTTAGTCAGATGTGGTATAGGTAAATAGACTGCGGCTCAGCATCCACCCACACTTTTAGCTATTATAGTGCTATGCATCCAAGTATTCCTGTCCCAGTTGGAATTCCAGTATCAATGCTTGGATACCTCCTAAATGATATAGTGTTAATCTGCTTCTGACTTAATGTTTAAGTGAAAATTGGTAATCCTTGTCTCCATACAGTAACAGTTCACTGTGTTACATTCTCTCTGATATGGGTTGGAATTCCCCAGAAGGTGTTTTTGTTTTTTTTTTTCCAATACATACAGCAAAGCAATAACAGCAGTAACCATGTTTTTCTTCAAAATCCTTCTGGAATGGGCCTTCCTCTAGGACTCATAAGAAATTAACCTGAAGTGATGTGGAGCAGAAGAGACTGTAGGTCATGGGCATGTGTACACAGATGCCTGTGGAACAACTCAGTCACATTACACAACTGACCGAGTTCAAGATGGGTGCTGTTATAGGGAGTTACTGCTGCAAAAAAACCTGCTTCTTACAAGGCTTGTAAGGTAGCTTCTCTAGGCCAATGTGGTGAATCATGCACAAAGAATGAGACCTCTGTAGTTGTTTTCTAAAGTGATCTGCAAGAAAATAGGCATGTCTTGAGTGAAAGAATGGACAACTCAATTTCTGTAACTATCTATCATCGTAGTGGATTGTGTTTGTCAGTCATGTCTGTCATGTGATACCTTTGTATTACACCAAAAATCAGCTCACCGGGGTAGGAATACTAAGAGTGTTTTTTGAAGGAAAGTGAGGGTAGAAAGAGAGTCTGATTTGCATGAAGGCAACCAAATCGTTTTGAAAATGTGCTTCCATGTTCCCATTTGTTCTAATCAAATTTGTCATGCTTCAAGGTTGCTCCCTAAGTAGTAAGCAATGGCAAAAACAACCAAAATCAGCTATATATTTATCATCTTGTTTTCATGAGCTTATTTACCTGGAACGTTGCCAATGCTGTATGTTTGCTGAATATGAAGTATTTCTTCTGTGTTGAACTAAGCAATGCAAGCTAGTGTTTATAATACACCTGTGTGGTCCACCAGGGAACACTTTTCATTTCTCTTTTGTTTTAAAGTGGATAATCTTTGAGAACTTCCCCAAAATCCTCTCAAAAATCTTCTCCAGCATAAGACAATGTGTGGGCTGCTCACAAGTTCAGACTTTGCATTTGGACTCTAGCTCAATGGGTGGTGTTTTCAAGGAAGACATATATGCTGAGGCTGACTCAGAGATGAAGAAAGTTATTTCCCTAGCATTCATTATCCATTTCCAGAATGATGAGTTGAAGAAGATAAGTGTGACGGGCACCATCCAGCTCTTCCTGACCTTTATTTTCCCTTATTATTGACTTATATTAAAAAGTTATAATTAGGCTTTGGAGCTGTTTCACAGCAGACTTAACAACCATTCGAACATAACAGTCAGACCTATGAAAACTGGGAAATTGTTCATGTATCTATAATGAAAAGGAGACTACTTACATCATAGACCAGAAGCTGATATTTTGTCCCATGTAGCTAATTGTGTTACTGTAAGGCAGATAGCTCTGATTAAAGGGAAATTTACTTAGAAGAAAAAAGGAAAAAAAAAAAAAAAAGGTTCATGTGTTGATTTGAAGCCATAAGATACCTCTTTGATGGAGGAAAGAGGGAAGCATGTTCCGTTGCAAACTGTTCATTTTGCACAGTTTGTGATCTTGTCTCGCACTTGTCTGCCAACCCCATGTGTTAGAACATTTTATGATTTCTCCACTGCTATTTCTAAGGGTTGGATTTGTCCTAGATTGACATGGGCGGGTAGACTGTGATTAGAGACATTCCCTGGGAGATTAGATAATAATGCCCTGCATGGAGTCTGCAATATTTATAGAAGTCCAAATAGTTTATAGAAGAGTATCACTCACAAAATGACAGCTTTAGGATTTTCTAACCCTAACCCAAAGAAAAACCCTGTAAGCAACAGCTGTGCCAAGTCTAATATCACAGAAACAAGCAGTGATGTAAAGTACAGGCAGTTGCATTATTGAAGAATTCCCGTGGACCCTCTAAGATCAGCCACTTCCCTCTTCCAAAACACAGCATCTTGCACAGGCAGAACCTGGCGGCAGTTGCTTACGCTGCGTGTTTGATATATTTTTAATCTATTTTTAACTACCTCCTTCTTTCAGTATAATGGTAATGTGTTGAAGGGCGTCCATGCTGCTTTGATGCCACTTTGGTTTGCTCAAGCAGAGCTCAGTGCTAACATGGTGTAGCAGTGTTATTCCTAATTCCAGAAGAGAGTCAATTTAAATCAGCAAGACCACCATTGTGCTGCAGCGTATTAAACAATACAAATATATCCTTAGGGTATTTTGAAAAAGGCAGTATATGAGCACTATTTTCATAATGTTGCACTGTGTAGGCATTGTGTATATGTATGAGAAGAAGTGGTCTCTTCCCTTTTGAACTCACACCCTAAAACAAAGAAAGGCATGCAGGCAGTGTGTAAGAAACAGGTGGATATTAGTATTTTCTTTGAAGGGCAGGTTTTAATGAGTCTTGCAACTTCAGTCGTTGTTCAAAGACGTGGAAAATTTGCTGCACGATACCATCCACATTATCTCAGTGAAGTCCCAGAATCAAATTAAAAATAATTTGTGTGGGACTTGGTACCAACAGGGACAATGATGATGGAAATAGGTAGCATGAAAGGTGGCTCTGAAAGGCGTGATAGAGATGCCAAGGCTGGCAGCTTTAGCAGAAAGCACAGATAGACCCTCTCTTGAATGCTTCTTACAGACCATAACCAGCTAAAGGTCGAGTCCAAAAGGTTAGCTGAGAGTAATGTGGGAAGAATCTACCTATAGGGCACACCAGTGGAAGAAGTGGGACACTAGACTGGTCAAGGCTCCTCTTTGCTGCTCATGTGCCACCCCAAATGTGGAGGAAAATAGAGGCTGGTTGACTCTTCCCATCAGGGAAGGACTGTGGCAGTGGAGTCTCCTTACCAAAGCTAAGCAGCAAGGATAGCTGAAGACCCTGTTTTTACAAAACTGTGTAGTATCAAAATACTTTTGTGATTACGCAAAGTTGGGAAAGAACATCCTCTTTCATCTCCCTAAATTAGTCCTGAACAAAGTGACTTGAACTTGATACAGAAAGAACATAAGACAATTTAATGGGATGGTATGCATGATGCAATTTGGATGATGCATCTCTTCACCACTTTATTGTATTCTTTCAAAAAGGCACAATAAAGAATGATATAAATTTCAAATGCCTCTCCTAAGAAATGCATTCTTTGAATCCAAATTAAAATTGAAAGACATCTAAATACTTGCACTCATCATATCTTTTGTTGGTTTAGATTCATTGATAAACATGCTCATAGAAGGAAAACAAATACTAAAGAAATCAGGAACAGCATTTTACAGTAAAAAAAATTGAAAATTGAAACTTGAAAGAAAAATCATCCTTACTCAGGATGTGTTTTTGGGAGAGATTTGAAAGGACAGCATTTTGCAGATAAATGAGGGTGGTAAACATCTTTTCCTCCTACTCTCTGTAGAAGTGCACCAGACTCCAGACTCTCTACTCTGACTAGTAATAAAAACCATATCCAGACAGCATTTGGAAACCAAGACATTTAAAATAATTTTAGAGACATATAAAAACTTTCAGTGAATGATGAAACTTATAAAATGCAGGAATCCTGGAATGAGCAAAATGTTCCTGGAGTGACTTCCCACGCATCATGTTCTGCTCTGCATATCCTAGTGTTCTCTGTCTCTGGAGAAGAACTCATCACTTTATCAAGGGATAAAGAACACATAGAAGAAGAAATATAGAAAAGCTGAAACCTCTGATGTGATTTATCAGTGACAAATAATTCCATCCATTAATCAGAACTACGTTGTCTTGTCACAGTCACTGCATGAGAAAGACCTGAGGAGTAGAGTTAGAAGATTGAATACCTGAATGTTTGGATGTTTTTTTCCTTTGGATTTCAGGCTACAAAATTATTCTGAAGAGCAGTTGGAAGGCGATAGGATGTAGGAATCACTTTTAGGAACTATAGGTTCACAGAGTGCTCCCTAAAGACATGAACATGAAATGAGCACTGCATTGCTCCCATTGCCATAGCAGATGCATGGAGAGCTGTTTTCATGGCTTGAACTCCAGGTGCTTGCTTTAACTTTACAGCCACAGTAGGGGCTAAAGAACAAGAAAGCCATGAGGAGTGCACCTGCTTTTCAAGGCTGCCAGTTCCCTGTAGAGTTAATAGAGAGGTTACCAATGAAGATATGGTTATCAGATGACATCTGCATGGCCTCAACCTCCATACAAGAGCTTAGGCTTGCAAATATCTTCCAAACTCACAGTCTAACAGGTAATGTGGTAAAACTAGTGTAGATGAAATCTCTCCATTCATTGATCCAGAGATGGCTTCTGTCTGACAGGAGTGAGCTGGGACAGTGGGCTGTTCACGTTCCTAAGTGATGTGCAGGATCCAGCTCTTGATTTATGTTGAATAAAGCTCTTATTTCCATCTAGTTATCTAATCCTTGTCAAGTCCCCTGGTAAATGGAAATGTCCGATCATTCCCACATGAAAATCCATTTTTTATTTCTCAGAGGGTTTTCCAAGCACTAAGCAGCCAGGTTTAAGGCAGAGAAACTGTGAAAAATATTTGTCTTTCAGAAAGAAAAGCAACAAACAGAAAAAAATTCTAAGCTTATAGAACACTGAGTTCATTTTCATTCTGAGGAATATTTATGTTCGTTAATAGCAACTCTGTATATAATAACAACATAATGAATGATTTTTTATTGGACTCTGGACCTCGTGTCTATCTACCACAGTGTATATGTCTATATGATAAATATCAGGCCCAATTCACGAGAAAGAAAAGCCCTTTTTCATTCTGTGTATTATACTTTCAGTAACATAAATCTTTGGAAAAGTATTTATTTTTGTCATCCTGAGATCATTTGTTTTAGAAAAAATATGAAATCACAGAATCACAGAATGTAGGGGTTGGAAGGGACCTCCAGACATCGAGTCCAAGCCCCCTGCCAAAGCAAGCTCCCTACATCAGGTGAAACAAGAAATAAGAAACCAGTAAACAACTTATCACTGGAAAATGAATTATCCACACAAGTGAAGAAAAATATGTTTTGTATTTAGTTAGTAGTTGCTTTATCTTCAGTCCTTTGTACTTCGATTAAAACAAGACCTTCTGAAGTGTTCACTACTAATATTAGACAGGGAAATATCTAAAACTGGGTCATATGTCTCCTATAGCAAAAATCCCCTGCATTTCAGAAGCCACACTATTTCCTTTAGGAGAAAAAAAAAAGAAAAAAAGAAAAAAAAGCTTTATTAAAGGATGTTCCAAGGACTCAAATGAAGCTAATTGCCCAAGAAGGATGGGGAACCAAGTAACGAGCAGTTCCGTCACAGAGAGTCATCCCTCCTAGATATTGCCTTTCAGTGACTGAAGAGCTAATGATGCTAGATTCTTAAGAAATTCACAGCCTGCAATCTTGATTAGGTAAGACAGCAAGTCTAATCTGCATTTAATGAATGATTCAGGAATAACTTTAAGAACATAAGTTTAAGGGAACGGGGCTTTGACAGAAATAGGTACCTGCCGTATGCATGTCTTGTGACCTGGCTAATTATGGGTATTTGAAGAAGTTACTACACTTCTTTCATTCAGTTTCAAAACCCATTGTCTTCCTGTTCTGCCAAGTAAGAAAATCTGGTACTTTGTTAAAACTTATGCTACCGTGTAAGCTGAGCCTAGAAAATAATGAGAGAAGAAGGAAAACTGATGAAAAGTTATTTCTGCAGAGCATTGTAGACAAATTTTTATGCCCTTCTGAGTCATTACAGAATCACAGAATCACAGAATCACCCGGGTTGGAAGGGACCTCAAGGATCATGCAGTTCCAACCCCCCTGCCTAGCAGGGCCACCAAACGTACACATTCAGATCAGGTTGCCCAGGACCACGTCCAACCTGGCCTTGAACACGTCCAAGGACGGGGCATCCACAACCTCCCTGGGCAGCCCGTTCCAGAGCCTAACCACTCTCCTTGTGAAGAACTTCCCCCTAACATCCAACCTAAATCTTCCCTCCTTCAACTTGGATCCATTTCCCCTAGTCCTGCTGTTGTCAGCCCTTCTGAAGAGTTTACTCCCCTCCTGGGTGTAGGTTCCCTTCAGGTATTGATAGGCTGCAATGAGGTCACCCCGCAGCCTTCTCTTCTCCAGGCTGAACAAGCCCAACTCCCTCAGCCTGTCCTCATAGGGGAGGTGCTCCAGCCCCCTGATCATCTTAGTCGCCCTCCTCTGGACCCTTTCCAAGATCTCTATGTCTTTCTTGTACTGAGGGCTCCACACCTGGACACAGTACTCCAGATGGGGCCTCACAAGAGCCGAGTAGAGAGGGACAATCACCTCCCTCTCCCTGCTGACCACCCCCCTCCTGATGGAGCCCAGGATCCTATTTGCATTAGTATGTGTTCTCAGTGATACCTGCCAACAAATAATATGATTTCGACCTACATTGTTCTGAACACCCCAATTAAAGAATACTTATAATGTACAAGTAAATGCAAAGAAAGAAATCTAATCAAGCACAGAGATTTAGGAAATTTCTTTTTTTTTTTTTTTCTTTTTTCTTTTTTTGTTTTAATCCCAACAGTGTCTTCTCCTAAGACAGGGGAAAATACAGCTTCCTTTCAGGAGATGCTTTTAAGTTGGAAATAATTTGTGACTGTCGGTAGCATTGCAAAATATCATTAAGGGGAAAGAAAAGGACATAAACAACCAGCAGTGACCCCATCAAAGTATCAGACCCTCTCACCCTTTTGATTTTGCAGGAAAAGTTGCTGAGACACATTTGAAGCTGAGGGTATGCCAAGATTCCAGCGGAGAAGAGAATTGTTTGTGAGGCAGGCAACTGTCACTCACACTTCTCAGGCCTTTCTCAACACCCTTTCTCCCTCTGTACTCACCTTCAGGTCTCACACAGCAATTTCACTTGCCCAGCTCCCACAGCCTCCTACTGCTTACCTCCTTCTCGTGGTAGGGATCCAGTCCTACCATGTGCTCTCATTATGGAGTCCCATTTCATGTTTCCTATCCCAGGAACACTGTGTCTGGGATAACCTGAATGCTGTAAAACAGCAATGGTAGTGTGTGCGACAAGTTACCCCCAGCATGATGAAGAAGCAACGTAGAGAAAAGCAGCCTGGGGATGGCAACTTGCTCTTGTATCAAGGTTTGGGCACTGATGCCCCTGTCTGTTTTGCTGTGTTTTTCCGAGTAACCAAGTTTCTTTAGAGTGGACAGCAGTGTGGAAAATGTCAAAGCGTTTGTAATAGCTAACTTATTATCTGCCTCTAACAATGGAGGAAATAAAAGCAAACACAGGAATAAAAGTGATTTTCAAAGACATGCACTATACAATCAGAAGTAAAACCTGTGGGTCACACATTAACTATGAGACTATTCTGACATTGCAGGAGTCAGAAATGAGACACTGATTGCGAGAGCAACAGAGAGGTGCCTGAGAGAATGAGGGCTCTCAGCCCTTTGAAACAGTGCCGAGAACCTGGGTTGGAGCCAGGCAGTAGCAGTGCTCACGCAGCCTCCGCTCACACAGCCAGCTTGCCAGCACAGAGCTTCCCTCCTGCCTGTTCGGTGTACACCACCAGCCTTGAGAAGACTATGACTCAAGATCTGCGCAGTCTTGAAAGGTTGAAAATATCCGTAACAGCTTCAGTTCTTGCATGGCATTTTAAGACGTAAGCAAAACCTGCGACAACAAGCCCAGGCTGGATATGCAGAGTTGTCAAAAGTAGCACACTCTGCAGCATTTCTATTATAAATCCTTGGTTCCAAGGGACTGAAATTCAACTGTAATTAATCACTGCAGGATAAAGCTAGGAAAGAGAGCATTCTGGACAAGAAAGTATTTTTTTTCTCTCAGTAAATCTGGAAGTATGGAAGGTGTACGTGAGACACTAAAGAGATTACTCCTGGGCTTTGAGATTATTTCATTTTTCAGATTAATAAAAATAGATTTAACAACAAAACCTGGAACACAGTGGAGATTTGATGCAATGGAATTTCACCAAATAAAATGCTATGGCCAAAGTACGGTCTGTCTACGTTCTTCCCAGATCTCCATCAAGGATCCTTTATGTAGTCCTTCCCTCAGTTGCGAGTTCTGTGGGATTATTTTGCACATAGAATCTGGGCTGTTTCTCATGGCCATAAACTGCAGCAGTGCCACAAATTTCCTTCACAGAGAGCCATTTGTAGTGCTCCATGACTTAGGGCTTTAAGACAGGAGGTGAGAAATGCACACATCTTATGACTGAGCCCATCTTATGACTGTAGCTTTGTGCCTGCTCTGACTCCCGCTGATGTTCTGGTAGGAGCTGTGCTGTCACAGGTATCTGTCAACATTTTGTCGTCTTTTTCCACCTACCCCTGGTCATACATGAATTTTATATCCAGACCACCTAATTAAGACTCTTCCTAAATCCACAGTGTCTGGAAATAAAAACAGCTAGTTCAAATTTATTTTCTGTGGAGGTGACAGTTAAATCCATTCCCAACATTAGAACTGGGCTACAGCAATAGTTTTACCTGAGTTTTTATTCATAGTGTTTTTGGATAGAAAAATACTTTTGAAAAGTTCACTGATGGAAATAGCCACAAGACAAATGCAGTCCAGATGGTGTAAACACGGGAAACATTTGGTCTGTTGTATGGCACATAATCAGCTACTGTGGAAGATGACAGTCAGGTTTGTGATTAATTCCAGCAAGGAAAGGCTAACCCTAGAGCTGAAGCAGCCATGACCTCTGGAAAGTGGCATATGCTATGGACACCACCAAGTGTGACCATGCACCAGCAAGGCTTTCTCACAGTTCATGTGCTTTTTGTTTGTTTGTTTTTCATAAAAGATGGAGTGTTGTACATCATGTTAATTATTCCTCTTGGTAAAACTCAAGATTTTTGTTTCAAGGGATTCACAACTCCCAGTGAAAACTTAGTCCATTCAAACAGTGTGTTGTTTTAGGTGGGATTCTTTGGCAGTGTCAGTCCAAATACTTTCTTATACTAAAATATTTCACTTGTTCATCTATAAAACTATGCTGAAGAAGAACTGGAATTTATAAGCTTGGAAGAATATTACAGAGCATCTTGACTTTTTTTTTCTTTCAATTCAGTGTTCCACATCTTTGGTTAACTATGGGCTAGCCCATTGTTTCATCATCATACTGAAAGCAATAAAAGAATAACATGCACTATACAGAGACAAATAAAAATGTTAAAATGTGTCAGTTATACAATAAAAGCTTGAATTTAGCTCACTGAGTTCAAAGGAACCAACCAAGGAAAAAGATGGTAATGACTGCGTTACTTTCTCAAGATAACTGACAGGAATCAACTTTGAGATTATTCTTGTTGGCTGTGAAGATAAAACAATACTGGGGTTCTGAAAAACGAAGGAGATTAACTTTCTACAGTTCCTCAGTACTTGATAGTATTTGTCCCAGAAATCAATAATAAAACTACAAAGGGCTTCATGCTTTTCAGAGTTCTCCATTGACTTTGGTAGGAAATCTGTTTCAAAACCAAATAGTATTACACTGCTAGCATGCTAAGCTGATAACAAAATAAGTGATCTGTCACTGAAAGTAAATACTTATTTCTCCATACTCTCTGTTCTTATCTTGTAGACATGTGTGGGATGGAGTGACTGCTGTCTGGGATTTGGTAATGAGCAATGGACTCTTGTAGTTGTTGCTGAAAATTGCTCACTTAAATCCAATCAAAATAGATAAAACAGTTCTAAATAGGCAACGGACAACATATTTTTCTCATCTTATTGTTTTTCAGGTTCTTCTTAATCACTGTAGGCTAATTTCCATAATCTTATTCAACATTAATTCAATTCGTGGTGACAGTTTCTGAAGTGGGACAAGGATTGATATTCTAACTCAAGAATCCATTAGATTACATAGACTTGTGTCCTCACCCTGAATGAGCACAGAGAGGAGTTAACTCCTGCTTTCTTGAGATGAACACAAAATCTCTTCCTTAATTAACCCTTTTCCCCAGAAGCTTATTCAGAATTGATGGCCAGTGAAGCTTACCAAACTTAGGACTAGCATCTCCTACTAGTTCTACCCTAACTTAACAGCAATTTTCAAGTTTCATTTGAATGTAGCAAAGAGCTGTGGTGGGAGGAAATTACTCTCTGCAAAACTGAACATGATGAGGCATGTGAGGACTTTGAAAAGGGCTTTGAATCATTCCAGTCATCTTCGCACTTTCCCTGCTGCTTGGCAAATGGTACACGACGTCTCTCATTTCTAAAGGTCTGTTACAGGCTGCCTGATGCTGCATGTGATTCAGCCTCCCTTTTGCACGACCAAGTTTTTTTGGTGTTTTTTTTTTTTTTTTTTTTTTTTGGGTTTGGGTTTTTTTTTGTTTTTTGTTTTTTTCAACCTACACTCCAGGGAGTCTGAAAAATAATTTCATTTCACTCAGCCTCTGAGTCGTGGAGTTGAGTGGCAGTTTTCAGAAATGTGTCACTGCAAAAATCGTCAAAAATCTCAGGTATGCTGTGAAGGATTTGCTTCAAAAAAGTTATCAAGAAAACAAACAAAGTAATACAGTGTTGGTCAGTCTGCATTTGTCTGTGTTTCTCTCTGTTTATCATTCACATGGGGCAGTGGTGAGAATAATAGCTAGAACTTAAAGCTCTATAAACCATAGCCTTCAGGTTAAGACTTGACTATCAATATCTCCAGGCTCAATTTACAGTAACAAATAACAGTAATATAGTAAACTTCATTTACAGATTACTTTTTTCCTCTGGTGTTGTTGGTGTGGGATTTTTGGAAGTAAAACTGTGAAACATAAGCCATTACTCAGAGCCTAAGTGTATGCTTTCCTTTAATCAGTCCAGGTATCAACTACATAATGGTCACAGTGCTTCCATCTGTTTTCTGAGCAAGAAAAGGACTTATCCTTTAGATGCTTCATACTAACTGAATATTCTGACTATGAGCAAAAAGAATGAATATAAAACACCTGGAGCTATTTTGTTTCAACTATAAACAAAAGTATCACTCAACGGCTTATAGTGAATTTACTGAGATACGCTTATCCACAGAAATCTTCTGAATATATTTGTTAGTCTAATTACACTAATATTTTTGGTTTTGTCAGATGGACTTCAGAGCATTTTCTGAAGCTAATATGGGATGTGCCAGAATAGGAACTGAGACACTAACTCCATGGTTTGCTGGAAAAGAAAACTTCTGCCAGCCACAGGAGTGAGAAAGAACTGTAGTGTTTTAAGGATAGCTTCTGCTTATGTTCAGAATGAAACAAAGCCTCTACTGCAGTTTTAAAGAGAATAACACAGCATTATATCCACTTACCAGAACTGACAATTACTGGATACCTACCTACTGTCAATGTCATGGGTTTTTTGGTTTTTTGTTGTTTTTTTTTGTTTGTTTGTTTTTTTGTTTTTCACTTAGGACAAAAAGGAACCAATCTTTGTCTGTCCTTACTACAGTAGCTCAGTATATTGCAAGCCTTAAATAAATCAGCACAAAATGCCTACTGCTGGAAATGGAGTCATTATAAAATGAAAGGAACAACACTACAGATTTCAGTGTAAACAAACAGAAAAGGCATTAAATAATTGCCAGTTTTCCTAATGTTGCTCATTCTGTTTGTTTTCTAAATTCCTAATATTTTGGGTGTTCATATAAATATGCTTGAAATATTTTGTCATCTGTCTTATTTATATTATGAGTTACACTTTTGGGTTCCCTCAACTCTCAGTTTGGAGTTCTAGTTATAATTTTTATTCAACTTAGAAAGCCTATTATTTACTTTAGACAGTTTCTATGTGAAAATTAGCATCAGATTCTGTCAAGTTAACTTCTTCTGTCCTGTTCTGGAATTTAGAACATTTGCATCCTAAAGACAGCTGTACCTTCTATCCTGAGGTAATCTATCAATGAGCAGACCTGCTAAAGCCGTTGTCTTTGTGGAACAGAGAGGGTGAAGGGGAAGTTATTTGCATTTTGGAGGATTTTGTCCTGTCTGATTCTACCTGAACTCCTCACACACAGTATGAACCATCCCTTGCCACTGACTATCAGCCAGAACAGATGGCAGAAGGCAGACAAGTCTGTTTCAGAATGGATCACACAATAGAAACCAAACTAATCTCAAGTCCTGCATGTTGACATGGTCAAAACTCATTGATATTTCTCTGATCTGTGAGGCTCGACAGTTTTCTAGGG